CCATTATTAGCATCCCTCATCTGGCAAACGATTCTCTTGTCAACACCTGCTCTTTACTGTCCCAGATCGCTCTCTCCACATTATTAATACGGTTCGAATCCATTCTAATTTATGCTCGAGACTCCCGTAAAAACGAATGAAAATCTCTTTTGCTTTTGAAAGAAACGTTGAAATTCGTGGCTCGAGGAGTCGAGGGGGTTTCCGAGTTTGCATTCGAACGGGCATTAGCTCGAAGCTATGGCGGGCAATAAAAACAACCCGATGTTCGCGTTGAAGAGAGAACCATCGCCAGGGGAGTCCTAGTTTGTTTGGACGTCGTTGGAAAACGAGCCCCGAGGGGCGGGGGGGAGGGAGGAAATTCTTCAACGACGGAAGGAAAATTCCATACGACTCGATGGGAGCCACGGGAGAGGAGGAGGAGGGGATGAAGACGCTGAAGAGACAGCAAAGTCGGGAGAGGCACGCCACGAAGTCTCAGAGAGCAGAGCCCGGGCTCCGTGCCAGGGGTTTCTGCCAAAAGAAAAACAGTTCTCGGAAGAGGAGGGTCTCTCTCGCGTGCTGGCCACGGTTTTCGGGGGCTTCACTGGGACAATCCGACGGTATCTTGCCAAATCCCGCATACGGGTTAATTGAGTAATACTTTTGTGGTTGATGACGCGACCGTCTATCTTTAATCCGCGAGCAGTCGATCGCCGGTGGCCACGTTTCGCCCTCTGACCCTTTCCACGAACGATCGAGCCTCTAACACGCCTGAAAATTCTCCGAGCTTCGTCTCATTTGTCTTGTCGATGACCAACACTCGGAATAGATCTCTTCAATTCGTATTTATATTTTGGGTATAATTACTGGGACAGTAATAAATTCGGTACAAGTCTCTTACACTTAAATCACGATTTTCTTTTTCTTCCGCAAACTTCTGCGAGATTTTCGTTTTTAATATTAACGTAGACATATTCAGGAATCATTTCCATGCGAAACCAGTTCTGCACTAGTGTTTATATTTGAGGTATATTTACTGTGATCGTGTTCGTTGCAACTGTACCAAACACGAACGCGAGTGCAATAAATTCGGGGCAAGTCTCTTACTTAAACGGCCTTTATGAATGTATTGAAATACAGTTCCAATATTCTCCTCGAAAATACAATCTTTTGTTTTATAAACAAATGACCTCGGGAACGGAACCAATTAGCCAGGACAAAAGAGGAAAAATCTTTCATCTTTTATTTATTTTATTAGACATTTAAGCAGAAACTAGAAGAAAACATTCTAACAAGGGTACCTAGAGTGAAATACCAATGTAAATATGTGTATAATAATACAATGTAAAGGGTTAATTATCACAGTGTCGAATATAAGCTTAGATCGCTGAATCTGAAGGGTGATTGGACTTTCGTGATTATTTTCGAGTAAATTTAAAATAGTTGAGTGTTTTTGAAGATCTCGAAGAACAATTGCAAACGAAAATAGTAAAAATGGAGTTTTTGGAGACACGTAGGGTCGATTTCCTCGCCTCAGGCGTCGGTTACGAGCGTTGGAAAAATTAAGGAAATAAACGTCGATAAGGAGCTCGTTCCAAAGCGTAAAAGTTTGCTCGGCCAGCTATCGATGACTAAGTCGGTCAGGTACTCGCGGCCAGCTTCTTATCGGTGCTTTTTTACCATTGTGAACGCCTCGACGATAGGAGGGAACCTGTTTTTCGTGGCCTGTTCTGGACAGGATCGCTAGGAGAGCTCGACGTTGGCGGGTCTCGGGCCTTCGTCGTGTACTAATTCGTTGTTTCCGGCAAGCAGTGACGACCGAGAGGCGGTAGGCAAACACTCAAATCATCGTAATAGCTAAGTCGACGCGTGGGCCTTCTTTTTGTATCGTGGAACCTGTCCCGTACCAGACGAATCGCGTGTCATAGTTTCTGCTCGAACGATCAGAACAGTAGCACCGTTTCGTAACGCGTTCCGCGAGAACCAGTCGACCGACTGGACCTGTAATCCAAAATTAACGACGAATAAAAAGCTGTCGGGCTCTTTCTTCCGTATATCACCCGTAACTCGACCGTAAGAAGACTATCTTGCTCGATCGTCGGGTGGAAACTTCGCTTTCGCGCGAATAAATTCAATTTATTAGAAATATATATTAAAAGGAATAATCTTAAGTAATAATAAACGATAGTATATACAAAATTTATAGTTCATCTCCGGTCAATACAATTAAAATTGACCGATAACGAATGTACGAAGTCATCGTTACAGAGAATCCAAGATTGAAAGTCGAAATACTAGAAATAAACAAGACCCATATAACACCTGCAGATTAAGAATTTTTAAAAAGATTCGAAAGATACGTTTCAATCGAAAAGACAGGTGGTTCCTTGTTAGGCGAATTGTCCAGATTGTTCAGTACCATTTGTCTTAGGGGCGATTTGTGCTTGTTGCAATTAACACCTGTGCGGAGTATTTGCTGGATAAAACCTGCGAAAAACAGGTTTAAGCACGCAACCATTCAGCGATATTATCTAGAGGCTGTCAATCCTATGCGTCGCGTAATAAAACTCGATTGGTACAAAATTAACAAGTATGGTGTTCCAGCCGCTGAAATTCGTTACGAACGATTACGAAACGGTTTATTCGCTTTTTCAACCGTTGCTATATTTATCAGCGACGGAAAAAGACTCCGCGTCGAATCGATTTCGCAACTTCTTAATAATTGTACTTGCTGCTGCATGTAAATCTTGTAAAACTAGGAAACCCACAATGTCTAGAACGAGGCTGTAATCGTTTTTAGGAAGCAATTTTCTCTCATTATTTTCTCCGCGTGTTTCCGTTCAGAACTTCCTGATAAGCTGACTCGGTCAATAGAGATTCTTATCGGCGATAAGAGATGACCCGAATTCCATCGTGGATCTCGAAATTGTGCCGTTGAATCGTACGATAGTTTCTGTATTTTATGTAAATTAAACTTACTTTTTCCCTGAAGAAACAATGTTACCAAATTTCATTTATATCGATTCGATCGTAACAATGAAAAGTATTACGAAACGATCGAAAAATTCGAAGGTACACAAAAGAAAACAACGTGGATCCTATTAAATTGCTTCGCTGAACTTTACGGGGATTATTTCTATTGGTTTCCCGATCGAGCACATTATGCAATACAGTATTAACTGCTCAAAGTATCGTATGGCTTCCGTATGTGTTTCGTATTCTGTAATTTAAATCCACGAATTAGGGAATTATTTCGTTCTAATTATTTGACAGATATTAGATTCCATGTCCAAAGTTACAGAACTCGTGGATATTATTTTCCCAGCAATTTACATGAAATTTTACAACCTGTACGGTCAAAAGAAAACCCGTATTTTAGTCTGACCGTGCACGCGACGTGATTCGATAAAGATACGTGCAATTAACGCCCGTAAATCTAGCGTTAAAACGGTTGGGTAACGCGAGTAGTTAACAATTAATAACCCGCGTGAAGTATTAGAGTTTTGTTAAAAACAGCAGGTGTCCTAAGGCTGTTGAACAGCGGTTGTAGGTCGATCGAGGGAGTGGTTCTCGTGAAACATAAAGCTCAGAGACCGGTGCGCGTGAAACTTTTCCACTGACAAGATTAATGGCTGCCTGTAGTCGCCTGTAAGGTTTCGTCACACCAGACCCCTCTGATATTTTTGATCGCCGGCGACTCCCGATACGCCGTGGATCCCGCGATCTTCCCTCGCGTTGATAGATCGACGCGGACGCGAATCGATTATTCAACGCGCGGCGAAAGCTGCGTTCCTAGTGAAATGTATTTCCCGTTTAATTCGTGCACGCGGGTCGTCGACCCGCCACAAGGTCGGTAACTGTTCACATTAATATGCATATTGTGCTCGTACTCGCACGGAATCGTGTCTGAATTAGGATTGTTACTCGAATCGTTTATACACGGTTCGAGTACAGGCTTAAATCGAATTACCAGCGACTTTGGTTGCCAATATTTTCGAGAACTCCAAGATCTTATAGTAGAATCGATTAGGGGTTGGATTCCTCGTGGAAAAACTAGTTTATACGAAGCTTCGTTTTTTGAGGAAATAGTCGATGTAAGTGGAAAATGAATTATTATAAGGAAAAATTTTGTTCTGCATTTTCAAGTTCTGTTACCACCAGGTGTGTACGAATAAATCAAACGATTAGTAATTTTGTCCGCTGATATTGAAAAAAGAATTACAAACTGTGAATTTAGTTGCGTGGAATATAATTAATGTCATAATGAGGATATTATTTAAATTACTAATCTCTGGGATAAAAAAAAATTGTTTTAGTCGTAGCACAGCTGTACGAAAATGAGTCCCCTTTCGAGAGGAAAAACGAGCAAGCGTCGAAAGGGTGTCGGGAGGCGACACGGTGCGAGGTCTAAGTTTAGAAGACGGTGCATCTGCGTTTCGAGAACGTCGCGACGCCAACTCGTCTATCGGTTTCACGGCTTTCCATCGACGATGCACGCCACGCTTTCGGTTTACAGATTCAGTTTACTTGCCAGAGACGACGAGCGTCCCGTTTCGATAAAGACACCCAACGACGAATGGAAGATGAACGATTCTCTGAAATTCGTCTGAGATTTAAGGTTCTTGAAGCCTGATAATCCTTTCCCTTTTCGTTCGTGTTTACGAAAGCACGATCGATCAGGGGGATTTTGCATATGGACGAGCGTGCTGTCCGATTTCGAGCGACCCAGTTCCTCTTTACCTTCTCGAGGCGCGGAACAAACGTAATTGTGTCATTAATACGATTATGTGATCAGCGTTTACGGTCGTTACGTCGATCGAGAGCAGCGACGATAAGCTTTGGACGCATGTTATCGTACGTTCCTTCATTAGTATTTTAAGAGACAGGAATTCGTGGAACGTAGCAAATTGGAAATTTCATTCGAATGGAATTTTGTCGATTTCAGGATCTTTGGAAATAAGTTTGGTAAATTTTCAGTTTATCGTGTGATCGCGTTTGACCGATAATTTTCTTGTTTGCAGACTCATATCCTGTTGATGGATGCGTTCCTCCAGAACAACAGGCTGGATCATGTCTCGAGGGTGATGGCTTCACATCCTTCGTATTTGGAACACTTCCTCCGTACCCAACATTTCATCCTCAGGGGCGACGGACCCCTCCCGTACGACTACAGGCATCTCATCGCCATTATGGTGAGTGCTCTGCTTTTCCTCCTCATTTAATTCCCCGTAATGGCTGCTAGCTTTCCCCTGGACACCGCGATAAACGAGAAAAATCGGGTAATCCCCGACTGGTGTCGCGTCCGTTTCGCAACGTGTCTACCATAGGCTATAAAAGCAACGAAAAAAATACAATTTGTCGAGTTACCACTACAAAACAGGATTCATTTTAAATTAGATAATTTAATAAATTTTGAATAACCTAAAGCCTTTTTTCTGATATTACGATAGTTGTGTAAAATAATATCTCTGAGGATTTAAATTATAATATTTTTTTTTTAATCTGATTAATATTCTTAAAATTTGAACAGTACTATTCGTGATATTATTGCTTACATTATCGCGTACGTCTGTATTTTCCGATTTTTCTAACAAATACTGATCAACAGAAGCTACATTTATCCTCGTGTACGTACGTTCTTGATGACGAAGCCACTTTAGCCACACTAAAGATCACTCTGACTATAACTATAACAGTACTGTGTTACTATGACCCCGCAACCAGTTCAGGGTCAACAGTAAACTGCAAATATTACTTTAACGACCGTTGGATACGTGGTACCACGTTTTATTCTTGCATTACATTCCTGTCGATCCCCAAACGATACGGAGGATTTTATCGCTTGAAAGTACATACATCGAATTACGGATCTACCAAATTTCATTTGAAAATGTTCACGTATACGGAAGTTACGACCACTCGAGAACGTACTCGCAACTATAAAGAAAATTTAAAAAAAAATATCTTCGTAAATAAATGTGTACATTTTTAAGCAACCTACGAACCTTCGACGCAATTTTTTACACCACTGTAGGTGGAGAAAAAAATCTGAAAAAAATTGATTGCTCATTTTCTGATCCACCTTACAACAAACATGTATAGAATATAAATCTTACGCCACTTTCGCAATCTCCCGGCACATACATATAAACGTTTGCCCTATCTGACTTTGTTTACAAGATGCAGCTGTTTTTAGTGTTTCAATCATTCTCATTCCAAACTGTGGTAGTATAATTGATTCTGCCCGGTTATTTACAACCCCGCTCTTACGTATCTCGCGGACGATCTTGCTAACTATTTGCAAACGCTTTCGTAATGCCTCTGTGTCAATTTTCTTAACAAGGATACACGTCAGGAATTTCTATCGGCAATAACTCGAAAACAAGATTAGATAGGTGAAACGTTTGTACGGACTTGTTTCCAATATTTGTCCAACCGCGGTTCGCTCCTCAAAGTCTATAATTTTATGAAGGCCTTTCCCAAAGCACAATTAATCCGTTTGTATCTGACTGTAATATGTGCTTATATCGTATTTTAAATTCAATATAGGTTCGTGCATATTTATGATGTATACATCTATACTGAAATAATTATGCAACGATCGTTGTTAATATACACGGTGCATTTATGCTTGAATTGCTTCGAGGAAATGAACGTTTCCGTGAAATCGAAATATTTGAAACGGGCGTGGAGATACCAATTCTTTTCCCAAATCTTTCTCTCGTTGCTGTCGCGATCTGTTCGGTTTGTTTTAACTTTATTTTTACAAGACACGACACGCACAATGGCACACGCGCGGGATCAAAGAATTTAAGGATTATGTCACGAGCGTATTGTGTCGCTTCTTGAGGATCCATCGTCGAGAGATACGATGCTTGAATTAAGTAGCTGGATAGATTTATTGGCCCGAGGCAGCGTCATTTAAATACAGAAAATAATGTCACTGTGCGGCTGTGATAATGTAAACAGTGGCAGCAGCGGTATACATTTGATAATCGTAAGGCCAGGTAGTAATTTAAATGCTAATGCTAATACCGATTATAAATATTAATATCAATAATTATAATCGCGATGATACAACAAGAATTCTACAGAGCTATTGGGTTACTTTTTATTCGAAGCACAATTTGCTTTGCTTGGATGTTTTAGAAAATTTATTTAGTCAGATTAGGATACATAATTACTGCTATAATTCATTCTCTCTCATAATTTAACTCTTTCAAGCAAGCACTTATTATCAGTGACAATTTTCTTTTCGTCACTTTGTCTCTGGAACTTTATTTTCTATACTTTAATAACTGTACCTGGGTTTTATAATGGAATTCTATATCTCAATTCTAATTTTCTAATGTTTATAAGTCTGACACGGTATTGTTATTGGTTCGATCGATTTGACCAAGAGCTTCTACATCGAAAACACTTTCGAATTCCCGTTAGACTCGCACGTAACGTTATTCGTATTTGTGTGTCATGCTTTAAAAAATGACACCGCAATAACCGAACCGTGTATACATATGCATGACTCGATGTCAGCCAACACATAGACAGTTTTAATATCTGTGGAGCTTGAACAATGAGACACGACTAATTATCAGTCTCGAGCGAGCTGTTTTTTTATTAACGTTTTGAGTCATCTACAAAATAAACTCGTGCGACCTATAAAATATAAAATAAATTACGATCAGAAACATTCGAGGGACACGAATAAATAGAACATATTACTCATTTAATTCTTCTTTTTTATATATCAGCCTTTAAAACAGATATGAGCAAAATTACTAAATTAACTCGTCTACAATGTCGTCGAGCGTAATTTTTACTATCCAACGATAAAGCTCCTCAGACGTTCTACTTCAGATCTCTATTTCGATGAAAGAAATTCAGTATCAGAAAATGATTGTTGCATTATCTGAAAATTCCCTTACGCAAACATTCGAGTCTCTATTATGATAGTTCAGATACCAGAATCTCTGTAGAACGGTTATTCAGACAAGCTGTTACTAGTTGGAGGCGTAACATAATTCGATTATATAATTCGGTAATTTTTATCGACCGTACGTCGAATCAAGAATTGTTTATCTTTTATTCGTTATCGAAAACTCTTTTAGAAGGACGAGAATTTTTCAGAAAAATACGATTCGAGTTTGGACGTAATCTGCGCTGGTATCGGTAATATAAACCGGAATACGATTTATCGCCCGCGAGAAGAGTTCTTTTTCCCCCGTGGAGCAAAGCGGTCGACGTTTGTTTTATCCAGTTTCACGACGTTCAGTCTGCAGCTGTGGGTCGTTGGGCCAAAGATTATCAAGTCATCGTAGCATGCTTTCCGACGTGACGTTGCAAGCCATCCGCTCGTTTGTCCGTGAAAAAAAAGAAAATTAATCCGCGGAATCGACGTCAGTTCGTTTTATATTCTTTTTATGTAAAATGTATTTTGTATATCGCGACTTCGGGACGACGGTTCGCGATAGGTCCGGTAGTCGATACACGAAAAATCGTCGTTCGAAACGATCCACCGAAAACACTATATCGAGCGCGATAAAAGACGAGGGGCACGATAGTCGAAAGCAACGAGCTACAGGAGAGGGGATTGCTAGTTGGTACACGGAGAAACGCGATAAAAGCGATAAGGTATCTGAAAAACAGCTTTTCTGCCGGTAAACATTCCCACCTGGTGCACGTCTCGTGTCAGAACTCTTTTTCTCTCTTTCGCGATTCGCTGATTTCCCCCTCTCTGTAAACCATATATGAAAGGTGTCCTGTAACATGGAAACACGTGAAATAAAAGCTTTCGTTTATTTCGAGATTAACAGTGATTTTTGCTTGGTCTTTGGAAGAAAATCATTTGACAATTGTGCACGTATGAATGGAAGTGAAACAATGTGTTATGTTTATATTATCTCCGGGGATATTGGTTTCTCGAGTACCGTTCCTAATCTCTATCTAGAGTTATAAATATCTTAGAATTTAGGAATCAATTTTAGACCTAATCTGCGGATCGTCAAAGATTAGAGCGATCGGCGAAAGTCTATGTGATAACGATTCCAGTGTTTGTGTGGGGTATTCGTGCAAATATGTAATTAAAAGATTTTCTGAGGCGGCTCGATAACGTACGATTAAATATAGTCCGTTGGAGGTCTCGCCAATTCGTTGATAATACTCTGATAAATGTAAGAATACTTGTTTAGGTAGACGATCCTAAATTATTTTTAATTGAACTCACGAATAATGCGCTTCCTTAAAAATTTCTTATAGAGATTTATTTGTGTATTATTATTGTGTAGTATTTCTTTGTGATTATAAAGATTTTATAATCACAAAGTTGTAATTTTATTCGAGTAGATTTGTGATTTGACGTTCGTCTTTAGATACGAATTTTGACATTCTATGTGTCATAGAAATATATTTGGTTTCGGACGGCTTAAAAAATTGGCCCGTTTGGAGCAGCGTCTTTTCTCGAGGCGCGTGCAGCAACGCTCGAACGTATTTGCGAACGTTTCTTATCGCTTATCGCGCCTCTCGAGTCGATCGATCCACTGGGCCGCATGGTAAACACGTGTCTTGTTTACGCGCTTTATCATCTCGACTTCTTCCCCACCCATCGCCAGTCCACCTATTCGTCTCCTTCCTCAATGGTAGGCGCCGGCATTTGAATTTCTGATGTAATTCCAGCGCGATCAAAACAAACTATTACGAAGATCGAGGTTCCAACGTGTCCCGTGCCTCTGTTACTCCTACTCGGCTCCCCCTTTCTGTCGATCTTCATCCCCCGTTCCCCTCCCTCACCGCGATTAATCATGAACCCGTCTCATCCGTGCTCGTTTCCATCGATCGTTTGCTTTTCGTCGTCGACGCCAACTACGCCGAACACACCGGTTGCGTCACAAAATTCCCCACCCTCGACAGTTTTTATCTTTCTTATTTCCATTCGTTTCTACGGTTACTTTCCAAGCATAATTGATTAACAAATAAAACTGGTACCAAGCTGCGACTTAATTCAATTCTTTAAACTGGGAAATTGTTAGAAATTGTGAGTTTCCTTGGAGAGAATGTGGCGCGAGGAATAGGTAGAATGAGTAATTCGAGTAAGTTTTGGTCAGACCCAGTCTAACCCTATTCTTTTCTAAATGGTCATATTTTAGTATTAACAATCGTATGATTGAAGAAAAACCTCAATAAAAGACGAACAAATTAAAATCGAACACGATTGAAACATAGTTGAACAGGTGAAAAAGTTTTATTGTACAGAGTATAGAAATCATGTTTTTTGGTAAACTTTGTTTCATATATGTGCAGACATATATAACGGGATTATTCAATACCCTGGCTTTAAGTAACTTCACAACGTTGAAGAAGCACGCGAAGGTTGACATTGGATTTTAAATACAAGCTCTTCGATAGTTGGCTTCGATGAAGTTGCAGGTTACATAATATTATCGAGATTTTTATCCTTCTTCTGTTTCGTGATTGGATAGCTTTATTCACGAGCGTAAGTGGTACCAAATGAGCTCGTGAAAAAAGGTGGATTATCTAAAATACTTGAGTTCGTGCAATTTTCAAATCTGAATACAGAAATGTGTCAAGAAGATTTATATATTTTGCCATTGAAACTTATTTATGTTTCGATATTCTATTGTGCAAGTTTAAAGACGAGTATTGCAGTCCTATTTTATTTCTTCTACGATCGATTTAATTCTGAGACATTATAGGACCCCAATATTACCCCAATATTAATTTTAATAGTTTAGAAAGGACAAACTCGAATGTCTCGTATGCTTTCAGGCCGCAGGTAGACACCAGTGCAGCTATTTAATAAACCTGCAGAAAGGAGAGTTCATTCTTCAGGGCGGTGACCCATCGTGGCTTCGGGGTCTGAAGTCAATTCCTGGAAAATTACAAGATCTCTATGAGATTAACAAGATTTTAGCCCATAGGCCGTGGTTGCTGAACAAAACGCACATAGAGGTGAGTGTTCGATCGTCAACAAATTCTAAAATCCCTCTACAGAACACCCAAAAGTACAAATATAAAATCCATCGTTACTTTTCTCTAAATCTTGTGATATTTCGGAGACCTATGCTAGTATTTTCCTGAAACCGTTTGCTATCACGCTAGACTGTCATTCCCGAAGCAACGAATCGATTTGCGATTTTATTCGGTCGCATTCCTAATTGGAAAAGCGTTACGATTGTTTGCTAGTCATTCTCGCGTTGGTATTAATATGCAACACGTTACAAAAACCGAAGGACAACGAGAAAGTGTGAAAACAAAGATTCATTGGAAAGTCGGAACAAAATTCTATACTCGCGCTAGAATTTTTAAACTTGTATTTATTTAGGGTATGAAAATAATTATTCGGGGTTTTCAGAAACTGACCAAGGGCGCGGACAGTTGGTCCTTAGCCGAGGTAGTTCACGCGATAGTCCTTTTGGCTCACTTCCACTCCCTCTCGTCTTTCGTCTTCTCATGCGGGGTGAACGAGGAGCTGGACAACGTTGCCGGCCATCATTACAAACTGAACGTCCAGGAAAATAGCAATAACGTACCAACTGCCAAAGACAAGATTTCCAATAGTCCCAAGAAGATTCTCAATGGCGATGGCAAGACTGGTAAGTTCCTCATTCCTATACTTTGTATCCGACATTAGACTCTGAAGTCACGGTCTCTGATTGCGTCAATTAATTCGAAATTCCCACAATGTTAACTCAACTCGATTGGATTCGTTTACGCGAGCCCTGAAAGTCATGTATTCTTAGTTACAATTTACGATAATCTCTCAGCTTTTAACTCTTTAAAAATGGTTTCATGTATAGGTGTGTGGTAGGTTTATCTCGAAGCTTGCATAAATAAATATAAAATAATATAGAACCCTCTGTTTAATCGTAAACCAATTATATTCGCAGTAGATCAACACCTTTTTATATTTGGCTATATTTCTACACAGTCAGTGCTGTGTCTACAAGTATCAGACCATCGTCTTTTCTGTCAACGATAGCAAGCTCTTTTTAAAAAGAAAATTCGTAATATAATCCAACTTTATCAGAGTCTGTACCCAACGAATGCTCGATCTTCTCACACGTTTCGCAAGTTTCTTTCGAATTTCCTGGTCGAGAATCTGATCGTCGGTGATTTACAACAGCTGGACCCTTCGTCGTCGATTTAGAGCGGTGTATTAATTTTGTTGGTTGCCTTGATAACGTTCCCGTTTTGCAATCTGTGCAGAAAGCATGTCGTCGCCGCCGTCCTCGCCCAGCATAGTCGGCGAGCAGGAGGTCGGCGTCGAGGCTCTGATGGAGCGCATGAAGCGTCTGTCGGAGAAGTCCGAGTCCTATCAGATCACCCAGGAGGAGCTGTCGAAAAGATTCGAGACCGTGGAAACGCAGTCCGCGGAGCTCGCGGCGGCGCCACAGAGGAGTAGTTCGGTCCTCGACTCGGACATAGGTCATTTCATCGAGGACCCCACCTTCATCTATCAGGACTTCGCCAAGGTAATTAATTAATCCTCACGTTCGATGATCGATCGACTCTGCGCGTGAACGCTCTCCCCGGGGGGCTTTCGATTATGCCAGCTGCGTAGATGGTCTTGTGGGAACGGTTTTACTGGTAACAGTAATTAATAGATTTGCTTTTATTCGAATCGTGAGATCAGAATTTTTCCTTCCGGATATGCCAGTGGACTCATCGATAACAAGCCTTGCTTTAAACGTCGGGATATTTAATAGTCGATCGAGTGCTTGTGAGAAAGGTGCAGGTCGAGCGTAGCCCTCTGTCGACGAGCGCGGGAACTTTGATCCAAGTTTAGAAACTTGTTAAAGCAATTTTCATCGTTTGCATTCCACACAGAGTCGTTCCCTCCGACTCGTCGGTATTTCTTCGCGTCGAACGACTATCCTATTGTCGTCCGCGCGAGGCCAAGCGATCAATGAGCACCGGTCACTCAACGCTTGCCTGTTGCTTGGCGAAAACGCGATAATAAAATAATTCCGCGATCGGAGTGGACGCGATAAAACTGTCGTTTCGAGCGAGCCCGGTTCGCTAACTCGGTTACACGGGCTCCGGGAGGATTATACCAGTGTTTCTGCGCTGTTTTTACGAGCCCGATTCGAAAGTACGGTTTCAAGGCGACGGCAAAGCTCGTCCCGATGAATATTTAAAGTTCGTCGGTTCGATCGCCGTCTCGAACCGCCGATACCATGAATATTTACGACGCGACGACACGTGAGTATCTCTCCGATCGAGACCAACCGCTTAACCTTAAATGGTAGCGCGATTAAGCTCCGAAGAAAGGGAAGCAAGTAAAATAAAGGATCCTCGAGCTCGGATCTGGATCGAATTTTATTCGTTTTTTTTTTCTTGTTCGCGTGTTTCAGCGCGGTCAGCTGAACGACATACCGACTTTCCGCGTCCAGGACTACTCGTGGGACGATCACGGCTACTCGCTGGTGAACCGTCTTTACAACGACGTTGGCAATCTCCTGGACGACAAGTTCAAAACAGCCTACAATCTGACGTACTACACGATGGGTACGCACAACGAGGTGGACACGTCGCGGTTCAGGCGAGCCATCTGGAACTACATTCAGTGCATGTTCGGGATCAGGCACGACGATTACGATTACAACGAGGTCAATCAGCTCATCGAGCGAAGCTTGAAGACTTTCATAAAGAGCGCCGTGTGTTATCCGGAGCGCGTCACTAAGAGGGATTACGATCGCGTCATGAGGGAGTTCAAGCACAGCGAGAAGGTTGGTAACAATTTCTCATCTTCCCTCTCTCTGCGTTTGTTTCCGCAGAATTTTCGTAACGGACAATACCTTGCACGTGGTCTTTATCTTTTTGAACGTTCTCCAAGTTCATCCTTAACGTAAATCTCTTCGATTGGCGAAGCGAAATAATTCTCACTTGCGCCAGGTGAACGTTGGTTACGCCAGGAGAGTTTATTTGCTCGTTGAAGCAGAGATGTCTGGTTTTCTAATCTCCGACTCGATATTATAAATGCATCGCTAATACGTTTATTTGCTCTTGCGAACAATAATATAATAAATGTATTGCAACTTGATAAATGTATCACAAGGACATCCACCTGCTCTTATGATCAAGGACTTAATATATTCTCCTGACGCTGTGTACAACGTGAGCCAAAAATAAATCATACCAAAATATTTACGTTAATTTTTACGTAACTGGTGAGGTGGGGCTTGGGTGACCCTGATTCGAGATGTAGGTGGCATACAAATGAATATGTAACTGTATTTATGTTAATGCTAGGCTAACTCCCTGTGAAACTCGATTGAAATATCGATGCCAGACAGTTTCATTAAACAATGACGGAAAAGAATAATAAATCCTAATAAATACTGGACGATGCATATATTTCGAACGATATATGTTCTTTGGAACGGAAACATTTTTGCGAAATAACAATCCTTTTGCAAAAAATCCTTTCGTAATAATGATTCTTGGAATTAAATTAGTGATATTTTCGAGGGAACCAAATTCTATAATTCTGAAGTCCACAGTCCAAATTATGAATTTAATATTATTCAAAAGAATAGATATAATCGTGAGCCAATTTAAATCGAATTAAGAAGTAATCGAAGATTATCAATCTGTATTGGTCGAAAGGAATGTTCTTTATTCTTTTGGCAAATTGGAGCAAAGGCATCGTGTGCCAAAACAATAAAGAACATTCTTCTCGTCCATTATCTATTAATATCTAAGAATAAACAAACCTACGGTTACTTCTTATTATTTCGGAAACTAGGTTGGATCGATAAAAATTACCGTCGAATCAAAAGACTTGTATCGAAGCTAAACGTGGTAGCTTCCAAGGCCATTGTGTCACTTTTTAATTGGCACACGGTATATATTTACTCGTATTGATTGATCAAGCTTAACCATTTAGTTTCCATTACTTTTATTCGGTTTTTATTACGCATGTAAATGAGGCGTACGTATATTATTACATAAAGAATAATTTGCGTAATGGCGAGGCACAGTCAGAGGCCGCTTTTAAATCTAACCTCGAAGGTATTACACAAACAAACACAAACAATTAATTATAGGGCAGAAAAGAACGAAGCAGGGAAATAGATCAAACTAAAGAGGAAGAATTATTGTTGATAAAACATCGGATGACGCGTTTCTACGTTATTTGAAAATGTAACGAAGCCACGTGGCACAAATACAATGTAACAACGAATATCAAATCTGTTTTATTGCTAATGTTCGAGCAAGTTTGTCAAATACTTTTCTGGCAATTATTTTCAACTGTCACAAACTGATCTACGGCGATATTTTTAAATGCAATTCTATTGATATCTTTAAATATACGCATTTATAGATCAAACTAAGTCAGCTCGTAGAAAACTATAAAAGTCTCATCGAAGTTGACTTTCTTGCCCGTAATAACAATCAGTAATTAATGAGCCGTTTATCGTATCGGAACAATAGCGGTCGTTCGATTATTCTTTTACCGGGACAGACATACGTAACTGAAAAGCGGATACACACGACCTTGTTTACATACGATCTCTTTCCATATGTCTGGCACGTTTTTTCGTTTCACGTGTCCAGAAATCTGGCGGCTCAAACCGCCAATTAAACGAGCAGAAAAAGAAACGAATCTTCCAATGTCATGGTGACACGTCAGCCATTTGTTTTCAATATTTAAACGCGGATAATTCCTCATGGAACAATAGTCATTGTTATTATTGATCTTCATGACGCAAGGAACTATCCGCTTCGTATTGTATTCTGAATAAATCTGAGTTTCATACAAAAGGCAAAGTTTGAGAAACACTGGCCCGTCAGCGAGCGCTAACGTGCCCGATTGGTCGATCTTTTCCGTCCCTAGATCTCGATGTAAATAGACAGACGGGTGATTTTTCGACAGTACAATAGTATTTAGGCCAACGCCCGCTGGGAGGCATGGCGCACACGTTGGAAAGCTTGCTAGTAGACGAGTTCAAAAGACTGGTCACGGCTATCGCGAACGTCCCATTCAGAAAATATAGCGACAAATTTGTTGGACCACTATTTAAACTTTCATTTGAAAATGTCTAGAAATTCTGAGATCTCTCACTTTTTGATAACTCTTTGATCGTTTGTCAGCCTTTAACTCGACCTTTGTTGGGACTTCTCTTTTCAAGCTTTTTAACGGTGGTATCACAGTAGTCCTTCCTGAGCACAAGACATCGACAGATTTATTAGTCTAGTTGTGGTGGTTTTAAAGCACCCAGAAGATTTATATTTATGTTTGTTAATCTATGGAGACACCCACGAATTCATCTATGGCCCCCTCAGGGTCGACCACAATGTCATAAAGCAACCGATTCTTTTCCCCGAAAGATCTGCTTTCGTTGTCACATACTAATCAACTTTTGTTTTTATTTTCTTTCAGGTTCACGTGAACCTGATGATCCTGGAAGCACGAATGCAAGCGGAGCTTCTTTACGCGCTCCGCGCGGTGATGCGATACATGACCTAAGCGAGGACCGCGCCCCTCCCTTCGTCTACTTGCTGTCTGTCAGTCAGTTTGTCGTTGGTTTTTTTTTAATCGTATAACTCGCGCCACGGTTTTGCGAGGCGTCTTCGCGGACTCTGCACACGGCACGGAAGGAACGAGCGAACGAGACATCGATTCTCACACCCACACAACCACACACGCAGTATATAAATAATATATTCTCACACGAATTACACTTACACGCTCACACACACTCATACAGACAGAGACAGAAGCTCACGTTACACACGTATCGCGCGCGTCAACGAAGGAGGAGAAGAAAAAGACCAGACCCCCGAGTCGAGTGTCCTCTGTGAGACGTCGTCGCAAGGTGTCCGCCATTTGCTCGTCGTAACTTTAAAGCGACAGAGATCTCTTTGATGAATCAGTGCTAATCGAACGAAGAGAGGAAATGCTGCTAAGTGCGTGGAAGACGAACGAAGAAAGACAAAAAGAGTGAGAGAGCGAGAGAGAGAGAGAGAATTTGACGCGGGTTGAAGGCGACATTGTTCGTAACCACGTGACATTTAATAGTATATATCGTCGAAGACGACGCGAGCTTTCGATGTTTATACGCGATGGACGATCGACGCGCCATCTAGAACGCGTTCGCGATCAACGTCGTTGTTCCCATTTGTACATTGGAAAACGAGTTCGTCACGTGTGACCATTGATGGGTGAACGAAGACACGCGACGTGAGGACAAGAGAAAGAAAAAGAGCGAACGAGATATAGAGAGAATGTGAGACAGTGTGTGACGTAAGCGCGAAGTGAGACGGGATACAAGCACGAGAGGAGAGTGAGAGATTTATCGTTTGTTTTGTAAATAGACACTCGTATTTTTCTATGTTTCGCGAGATCGTAGTAGATTGTTATTTGCGCGTTTCGTTAACGTTTCAAATCTGTTGAAAGTTTTTTGATCCCCGTAACCCCTCCCCCCGTACCGTTCTACCGTCTAATACCCACTTTCAAACTTTTTTCAACGATGCTTCCCTTTGGTTCGGCGATTCGATTTTCTTTCTCCTTCTCGCGATTCGCGTGACCATCCTGAGGGGAGGGAGGGGATTGGAGGAGGGGAGGTTGGAGCATTACGCGTCCGTTTCCCATAGTAATCGACTCCTCGCGGCACTTTAATACCGGAACGATTCGTCGATGGTCGCGATTGATCGTAAGGATAAATCGAGAACCGATGACGGGTCGAGGATGACCGGAAGTCATCGTGCGATTTTCCGTTCGTTCGTTGTTCGTTGCATCGTCGTTCGTGTTCGTCCGAGACACTAATAAAAAAATTAATGGCCGAACAGGGACGACTCGACGAACGAATTTTTGTCTTTCGCGGTGTGGTCGCGATTCGCGTTGCTGATTGCGATTCCCGTTGTACATATATATATATATATATATATTTATATATACATATATAAATATAAATATATATATACATATACATATACGTTTTAACTTCGTTTATTGCAATGAGTATCGTATTAATGGCCGAACAGGGACGACTCGACGAACGAATTTTTGTCTTTCGCGGTGTGGTCGCGATTCGCGTTGTACATATATATATTTATATATATGTATATACGTATATATACATATACATATACATATACGTTTTAACTTCGTTTATCGCAATGAGTATCGTATAACGAAGAAAGCTATAATATAAACAACAAAGTGTACCTTCGTTTTTTCGTCGTAACCGTGTGTCGAGAATTTACAAATGATAAATGAAAAATCTTAGATCGTAGGATGATCTGCGCGCGTACGCGCGACTCGACGCGCGAGCCGCGCGTGCGCGGCCAGAGACATCAATGCCAGTCGGCTGTGTTTATTTACGATGGATCATGGCGCTACTGTCGCCAACCCTATGCGCGACAAAGTTTTGTTTTTCCCGCACGAGTCTAGCGCTGTACCGCTCTCAGGAAATTCTATATCGTCCAATACGTCGCGGAGAACCGCGAATCTCCAGCAGGGATCGGCAAAATTTCATACGGGGAAACAAGCAACGAGCGAAGCTAATAACTCTTCTATTCGCTCCTTGCGAAATACTTCATTCCGTAGTTCGAATTGTAATTTTTATTTAACGCCTAACAGTTCGTCCTTCACTCGTGTGAGAATTTTGCCGATCTCTGGACTACGGCGAGCTTACAGTCTGGTGGGTGTAGTAAACCTGAGACTCAACGTACGCAATAGATACGTGTTCGTGTTTCGTGCACACCAAAGTATGGAATTAATATATCGAACATACTTCCAGAGTAATAAATAACTGTAGGTTCGTTCGTCCTTTATCGATAGATGTAGAAAGGAACGTTCTTATGGTTTTTTTATTTGGTCGATCGGGGTAAGGTCAGTTGTTTATTTATTTTTCTAGTACTCGTAATTTTAATAATATTTTTATCCAAGAAAGTAATTATTTAAACATTTTAATATTCGTGACGTTCTTCATTCAGAGTTGAGTTCATGTTGAGATTTATTTAGAACCCTAACAATTTTTTTACCTATAACAAATACATATCAGATAAGATTTTGGGACGAGAATATAAAACAGTTGCGTTGCAGTTTAAAAAATTATTGTAATAGTTAAAACTCGATCGAGAGGTCTTGCAACGTGCAGTTTCGTAAACATTCTTCGAAATTCATGGTTACAACTTTTTCCCTGTGTTATCCCTGCAGAACATAGATCAAACGATTGATCTTTCTCTGTAGGTCTTAAGAAACCATAAGGACATTCTGTGTCCACAGAGGAGTTTACTATATCCTTTCCATGGACTGTAATCGCGCTAAAAGCAGCACAAACTTTTTGGTACTCAGGCACAGCGTTAGCGGAGCGTACACGAATTATAAACGGCGAGGACCAAGCGAAGGGGCGAACAAAAAAATAGAGGAAAGGAAGAGCCCGAATCGAATCTTTTTCGCGCGTGTTTATCAACGAATTTTCATGCCTTTCGCGTAGCGTGTTGAACTTTAAAACGATACAAAGGGAAGAAAGGAAACCGTGGGAATCGTCGTGTCGACTCGTGTTCGCCCCTTCTTCCGATGACCAACAAACGGTTGGCAACAGTAGGAACGGCTCGCCGCGTAACGTGCGAGCGGGACAGAGAGAGGCTGTTTAAACAAATCAAATCCATATTATGTCGTTACGGTACACGAGGAACGTGGCACAAAAAATGAAGAAAACAGAAAACTCTATTACACGCGAATTACACGTGTCTGTGATCGCATATTATATATATATATATACATATATATAATAATATAGATGTATAACAAACATAATACGCATTGTCGAGATGAAAACGAGAAGCAACAAATGGATCGATATATATGTATTATATATATATGTATATATATACGTATGTACGTACGGTACATACGACGCGTATTTACGTCGACGACGACGAAAGTAAACGAAGCGCGTGGTATATCGATACGCGTACCGAGCAACGGGAAAGCAAACCGAAGAAAAATGAAAAAAAATAATTATGGAATACCGATACGGGAGATATACGTGTAGCGTTTGTAATTACAATGTCTCTTTATTATGTAAACTGTGTATGTGCGCGCTCTGAAATTTATTGTATATTCGTGTATATGATTCGGAGCTGTCGCGTTTCAAGTGCAACGCCATCGCCAATCGATCGCGAATCAGCCAAAAAAAACGCGAATACGTCGCCCTTAGACGAGCTTGTACCACAAATCACCCACTTTACGCGCGTAATCGTAATTTTTTAAAATCGTTTTCGTTCCCGCTGGTTCGCGATCGAGATACGGTTCGGAGCGTGTCGAGCGAATTTGAACGTAGAGTATCAACGGACGGACACAAAACATACAAACAACATGCTAACACACACGCAAGTACACAACCGGGGAAAAAAACTTTTTCGACCAACAGCGACGCGTTTGCCTCTTAAAACGACGTCACCACATATCACTTGAAAAAAAAAAAAGAGTTTATTAAGAGAGCGGACGCAATCGTGCGTTCACTTTGTTCGTTCTTCTCTCATTCTTCAACGTGTTCTCGTACAGCCATGTCGCGAACCGTCCGTAGGATCGTCGAGGTTCGCGACGAGCCGCGCGAACGACAGTATTTCACACATCTTCGACGTTCATATCCCTCCGGGCTTTCGAGTCTCTCTTTCTCTCGCTTTAAAAAATCATCCTCTTTCGTACGTAGCCGCAGACGCAACGCAATCACGTACGATGGTTCGCGCGACTATCGCCGATACGAAACCGTACATCGGCGGCCATGTTGGATGGTAGTACGGTATCGCCATACCAGAGTTAGGCAAAGCTTCAAGCGACTTATCATTATTATACGGTAATATTATTTCACGGTTGAAACATTTTATCTCCATTAAATTAAAAACGTTCCGCTTTGCCCGTCTCCGTGCCATACGACCGTCGTCGCAACTTGACATACGATCGTGGATACAATAAATCGTTACGTCTGTGGCAATCTGTCTCACCCGTCTTCGCCGCGTCTCGCGGTTTCATTGTCTCTTTCCTCTTCTGTCTTCTTCCGTATTCCACCGGGAACAGAATCCGGCACACGTACCAGAGAACGCAGAGATTTTTCACGATCAGAGTCGAGCACGTAATATCTTAAGAAATCGCCAGGTTGTCCAGGAGTTATCAATTAAATATTTAACGTAGCCGTGAAGTTATTTAAAGAGGATCTATAATTTAATCGTTTCGATTCGACGCGCGACGATACACACGCGGGGTAGTGAAAAGTCGTGAACCCCCGACCAAAGAGGCTTCGATCGTCGAGGCTCCGTTTAGAATCTTTCGTACGAACTCGGTTTTCTACACCAGCCTCTGTAGAACGATCATTCTCGCGGCGCTTGCAGGCTCTTCGCCTAAAGCCACGTTTCCACAAAATTTCCAATTGGTTACTCGTAGCAAACTAGTTAACACATTATGATATATTTTTCATCGACAAAATTCATATAGAATCGTTTTTAATCGGTTTCTGACCGTACACGTGGGAACGTGGCTCGCTCAGCGCGACACTTGGATCGTTTGGAACACGTTTTTAACTGTAGTGCATAGGTAGTCGAACGTGGGAATGTAACATCATACTTCGACGCGTGCAACGCGCAACACGGCACGCGAATCGTTTAAAAAATCCTGTTGAACGTAGTGTGTAGGCAATAGCGTCAGCTTGAATCGTTCGGGTGACGGTTCGAGTCGCGGGAATCCAGGACGCAGGGAGTTCCGCGACATTTTCACCTCTTCTTAGATCTCCCCTCCCTCACTCTGTCTGTTTCATTTCTCTTTCCACGCTTCGTCTCTGTGAAACAGCGAATCGCGGTTGGCGAGAGAGCGATCAGAGCCCGTAGGAGAACGCCTCGAGAACGATTCGTGGGAAAAATCGCGGTGTTCGCGGCACGAGTTAGGTGCCCGAACTGATCTCATACATAATAAGCTTTCTAGTAGTCGGAAGGTGACGAGGAGGAGCACGCGATGCTTTCTTTTTTTTTGTTAGAGTAGACAGAGAGAGAATCGCGAGAGGGAGAGAGCGAGGGTAGAGAAGCAGGCGACGGGAGAAGGATCTTTTATTAATTTTTCTGTTCGCGTATAAGCCGAGTCGCTCGCGAGTCGGTTAATTTGGAAGCTGGGAATGCGGCCAGATGCCTTTTTTCGCTCCGGTACCTCTTTGCGGAAGCGAAAATGGGTCGTGTTCGGATTTTGGATGAAGCGAGAAAACCCTGGGTTAGGTGGATAGAAGATCGCTGAGGGTAGAAGGTAGCCAGGGACACGAACGAGGCGTAAAAAGCTCGGAACGAGGCATTTGTTCTACGCATATAATCTATATGTATACACAAGATATACACACACACACGGAAACACACGTACACACACGCATACGTACATATAACACACACGCATACACATGTATCGTTTCTTTGTATTCTTAGTTTTCTTTTCATTGTTTAATTTCGAAGAGAGAGAGACGAAGATATATCGACGAGCTCGCACAGCTATTCGCAACGTATTCGCGAGCTCGAGCCACCTCCGAGAGTCACAAAGCATAGAGAGAAAAGGGGAGGGGGGGAGAAAACTGATGAAAAAGAAAAAAAGAAAATGAAAACAAAAAAAAAAAAATATGAAGAAGAAAATGAAATGAAGAAATAGTAATGAACAACATTTTACATGCCACCGCGTCGAATACGATCGTGTGATAATTACAAGTGATTTGACTAGGCCCTTCCAAATGGATTCAGTCGGTTATATATTATTATTAATTATATCGTGTCAGGAGAAGTCGTAGGCACGGTCGGGTCAGCTCGAATCCGCTCGACCCCACGATCGTAGTTTTATCCTTTTAACCTTTCGTCGAAACTTTTTTAAAAAAAACTCGGTGACTTCGAATGACAGATATAGAGAGAAGAGTGAGAGAGAGTGCGAGAGAGAAAGAGAGATTGAGAGATTGTGAGATTTTTGCCGTCGACGAACCCGGAGAATTTTCCGTTCGTGGCTGCGCCTGCAACATCACGGTCACGTTGATTCGATTAAGCAACGCGGTCGACGCCTAATCTTATCATGGACTGTGGCCAGTCGAGACTCCTCGCGAGGCTCGTGGAAATTCTCGGGGTTGGTTGGTTTTTTTTATAGACGTGTACGCGCGCGCGCGCGATCGATATGACTGTCGATCGTTCTTTTTCGAGAGAAACAAAAAAAAAAATAAAAAAAATACGATTTTCGGACGACCGATCGCGCGACCGAGCGCTCGCGATTCGAGCTGGAACGACCGTCGGAGTTACGTTGGAGGGTCGTATGTGATGTGATTTCTTTTATATCATAACGAATGATGAACACTCTAAGAAATGTTATAGTTTCATATAAGTGATATGTTATTTGTCATTTATTTTATCCCTTAATAAATGATGTTATATAAAAAAAAAAATGAGATAGGCGGTTCTGATTAATCGTTCCCATCGTTTAGACATAAAAAGGATCTTTTAGTGCATGACAAGTCGATAGGAAGAATAAGAAGGCATCTTTTTAATGTAAATACGGTAAGTTCTATTCCACTTCGTTCCTTGCGATTCCTTTATTTTGTATATCGGTTCACCGATAGTTTCCAACGCTTCCAAGCCCGATTTTAATTCGTTAAAAGCGTCGAGTACACTCTGCGGGAGTGCAGTTGGAATCAGTAATTTAATTAAATAGGGTAAAGTGGGGTAATTCCGTTCCACCAAATTCCTTCCACCTTTAGGGGAGCGTTTCAGTAGCACTGCATATCTGATCGAAATTGCCCTCGTCAACGTAATACTGATTGGTCACTGATAGTATAGTTCACTGAAAACATCCCAAAAGCTTCTCGAAAGCACCTTTTTACGAAGATAGCGTACCATCAAACTTACCCTATTCTCTTTTCATTATCATGAATCAGAGACCCATTTGCTATCTCGTCAATAAAAAAAGAATTGTCCGCTCTTTTGTCTGTCTCAGACAGCAAGATAAAGCTTCTACGGTCACTGTTATACTTACGATTTCATCGACGTCGCGTACGCAGAGTCCTACGGAGGGTGTCTCGATCGGGTAACAATTAAAACGACGACAGTGTTCGTCTTCTCGTCTTACAATTTATTTCGCCGTCTATCTGCATATACACACGGTAAATGACACCAAACGTCTACCTGGTTGTACTCGTTTAACGCTAAACACTTACTCGCTCGCCTCGCTTAGTTAAAATACTTGGCGCGGTGTCTACTTTCGCGCTTTTACCGGTCGCGGTATTTACACAAATGTCCTCGGTGTGGTCGGTGGCCGTTTGTGTGGAATCGTACGGTGCAGTTCGTTCGCGTGGACGCAAAAAACAGAGGGGGCGGGAAACGGCCGGAGTCTCCGCGTTGTTTCGATCTCTACGATCGAGTTGATCAACGCTGTTCACGCGCGAAGCGGAACTCGAGCCGGAAATCGCACGTCGACGAGGCGATCTCGTCGATTTCGGGCTCGATATCTGTCCCCGAGCGATCGAGAACCTAGTTGCACAAGCAGTGAGAATAATCAGAGCAGAGGATCGTGTCTCGTGATCGTGTATTGGCTGCCCAAGGTCATCCCCCACCCACAGTTGAAATTGCAAATTTGGATCAAATTCACGAATCGCGAATAGAAATTTTAGATTCGCTCGTATGCTATGCCCTGCTCAAGTCTTGTTCGTAAATTCGTTTGCACGTCCATTGTAAACGAAAGGTAGTTTACGAAGTAATATAAAATTCTTGCTAATAGTAATATACTATTATTTCATTTGAATTACATTCGAAGGCATTCTTTGCGTGACTGGTTCTTTGATATGGTGGTGGTGTTGGCCTTGAGCAGCCAATTGATTTTGCACCGACCCTGGTTTTCGGTGTAACTAATCGAGACGACTTTTATTCGTCGAAACACGGTTTTCTCGAGCTACTGTGCTTGTTCCTGTAACAAATACCTGAATATTTCTACGCGAGAAGTGAGAAATTGCAGGAATGTAGAACGATCGCCGATAGAGACCTACAAGGGAGTTCACAATCGGGACGAGCTCTTTTTGGATTGGATAGGGTGTAAAGATGCCTGAAACAAATTCTAGAGCAGCTGTTGACAAAGAATTTCTGTTACATCTCCTTGATCTTCCAAACTCACTGCTTGAAAAATGTTTATACTAATAAATCACACTCCCTATGCTATGTATTAAAAAAAATTGAATTAGAAATGGAGGATACTTCGAGTATTCTGACAAAATATTATTCTAGTATTTGCTTATACTCACGATCCCTTTACTCTCGCAATGAAGAAAAATTACAGTAAAAAAAATAAAGAAATAAAAATAGACGTTAAGAGATACACCGAGAGAAAGTTATTACAAAAAAAATATGAATAAAATTAGGCACTGTCGAGTAATATTCTTTGAATCGTTTATACCGATGGTCCCCTAAATTTTGCGTTCGTCTCGATCGTAGGCTCTTCTAACCAACGATCGATCCAATACCAAAGATGTGCGAACAATCGTCGTTGCAAGCTCTACGATAAAGTGCAAAAAGACGAAAGCTCTCTCCGGGCGAGTCAGATGAAACGATAGGGGTTTTTCTGCCCGTCGAATCGCCAGCGAACGCCCGTGGAGGAATTGTGCAACGTTCGTTCCGTTAAATATACCCGCGTGCGCGAAACTCGCGTCGCGATTCTACTTCGATCTAGAAAAAATTAAGAAACGAACTCGTCGATTTTTCCGTCCGGTGCCACTTGATGCGTTTTGTACTTGCTTCTCTGTCTTTGTATTTTTTCTTTGTTTTTTTTCGTTTTTTCTTTTAATCTTAGTTTTCCGTCCTTATCTTTACTTCGCTGCTTTACGTCTAAGTGATCACAAAGGTGTGAAGATAGTCGTGGCTAGTTCCCGTCGTAGTCGTGAGGCGGTTGCGGCGGTGGTGCATGATGATGCATGAGGATGTGTGGCGGCAGTTCGACTGTGGGAACACCCAGGCTGCTTCTCTGCAACACCCAAGATTTACTCCGATCGATAAGATTTCGTTATTTTATCATTCACACGGAACTTTACGATCGAATTTTTATTTTTATCAATTTTCATGACAGTATTGATGGATCCATGTTTTTCTGGTGAAAATAAGACCAAACATGACCTTATTCTTTTTTGTCAGATGATAGAAGCGAGACTATCCCTTATTAAAGCAAACTGATATTCCAATTTTGACAGAGGATTGAAAGTTGATGGTCGAAACGTTTGTACAAATCAATTTTGCGCGATTAACTATAATTCTTAGGAAGAAAAATGATTCTAGTGGTACAGTAGATCAGTCGAGTATTAAATAACATTCAAGACGATAATTTACGTTTTGCGAATGCACTCGATTAACCTATTAACCGAACGGAATGTTTAGCCCGCGTTTTATCGATATCAGGAAACAGGGGAAAATGTCAGCTGTTTACCCATTCTTAATTGAATTTGTGTGCTTTCGGTGCAATAAAGTAGCGATTAACTCGCGGTATTTCGCTAATAACACTCTGATAAACGAAATGAATCGTAGAAACAGACGACGTACACGAGTAGACCTTACATCCAATTAATATTTTCGGTAATGAATTTTTTTCTCGAAAGTGCGTAGGATTTCGGGGGTATGCCTATTCACCCAAAATAATTGTAATTGAGCCCTGCAACTAGAAATAATTATTTCAGAACGATTTGAAATTTTTTAATTTCACCGAAAAATTTTAGCATATACTTGAATTTTTTTCTCGAAAGTGGGTAGGAATTCGGGGGTATGTGTATTCACCCAAAATGATTGTAATTGACCCCCACAACCGAAAATAATTTTTTTAGAACGATTTGAAGCTACTTTTATTCGCGGAAAAATTTCAGTGGAATTGGTCAGATATTGGTCAGACGTATTAGTAAAGAATTTTTATTTCAAAATTGCGTAGGATTTTGGGGATAGGTGTGTTCACCAAAAATGATTGTAATTAACCCCCGCAACTAAAAATAATTTTTCTAGGATGATTTGAAATTTTTTAATTCCGCCGCAATTTTCAGCACATACTTGAATTTTTTTCTCGAAAGTGAGCAGGATTTCGGGGGTATATGTATTCACCAAAAATAATTGCAACTGACCCCTAGTAACTAAAATAATTTTTTCAGAATGATTTGAAATTTTTTCATTGTTTCGTAATTTCGACGTTTAAAAAGGGAGACATTAGAGGGGGTTTGTGGGGAGTGTTTTACCTGGGATCTCATCCCGTTGAGGGGGGTGGCAGTGGGGTTGTCCGGCGGATAGCCGAGCACGTGGGTCGAGCATTTCTCGCAGGCGCGTCGGCGTCGCGACGACGCGTGGCAGCGCAACGCGCGGCACAGTTCCCGCGCCATTTCCGAGCACAGGGACTCCTGCTGCTGCTGTTGCTGCTGCTGTGACGGCTGCTGTTGCTGTTGTTGCTGTTGCACGGACTGAGAGATCCCTTGCAGAGAACCCGAGCAGTCCGGCGTCGATGCTGTAGCTCTCTGAATCGAAATTACCAAAGTGAACGTCCCCCAAAAAACAAATCGAACTTTTGTATTACAATCAAAAGATGTCTCTTTGACACAGAATCGACTAACAGAGACAAATGTATTTCTATACATGACAGACGAAAGAAAATATGATGTTTATTTATAATCAAGAGGAGAACAAATGCATCTACGCAAGGGTTGCAAAATTCCGTTTCCTGCGTCGAGTAAGAAGCAGACAAAAATCGACTGCGTTCCCCGTGAAATTAAAATGATAAAGTCGATGAAGTTTGAAAAAAACGGACCTTGGTTCACGATTGAGCTTCGTGCGTTTACGGTGAGTCGGCATGCTTCAGTGGAGGATGAGCTCATGCTGCGTCGGAAAAAACCCACGGCGGCGGAAATGGAACAAAAGTGACAAAAATTCATGCGATCCTAAAGCTCATGCATCATGCTCCAAACGGTCGTCTGGAAAAAAGTCTTTCTTTTCCGCGTTTACACTGCAAATCGCACGATGATTCGCTAAGCGACAAAGGAAACGAGGCAGGGAAATGCAAGGTGGAATCGAAAATCATTTCCCACTTCCGGTAGCATTATTGATAACGATCAAGACATTTCAGATGATCGACTCGGGTGGAATGTGGTAAAAAATACCACACTGTTCTGAAATATCTGTTCAGTGTCTTCCTCTCGTTGGTTCACAGATGAGTTTGACAGAAAATAATTTATTAGAATACAATAAGATACATTTTAGAACAGTGTGGAATTTCACAATTTATTGATATTACGTTGCGATTGAGTATTGTTAATATTTCTTTTTTATGTTTCACTCACCCGTTCCGCCGGCGTGTTTCTCCTCGAATTGTAACAGAACTCGAAAATCGCGATCAGCACGGCGAACGCTAGCCCGCACATCAAAACGACGAACACTCCGCCTAGAAGACAGCAGAAGACATTCATCCTCAAGCAAACGTAAAAATTCATCGGCCCTGATCTCGTACAGGACTCCGTACACGACAACTATTAATTAACCTGGCAGATTACACGCGACTGCAAAAAAGTAGCACGAGAATTTGAAACAGAGGAGCGTCGAATCGAGAAACATCGCGAGGCAAACTTTCAAATCACAAAGTCACTATTTTCTTATTACTAGAGGGGATCATAGGTTATTTTGTTTCTTTTTTTTATTGAAAATTTGAACAAAAATTGGTGTTTTTACCTATATTGGCAACACCCAAAGAGTTTGCCTTGCTCTCCTTGCCCTTCTCGGTTCTCATGCAAGTGTCGCCGGGACTTTTCCACCATTTATCGTACAGTATTTGGATCTCGCCCTTCTCCTGCAGCTCGAGAATCGCCAGGGATATCTTGTCGCGCCAAGGAGAGCCTAAAAATTGCCAGATCAGTATCGTCAGCTTAATAATTTCAGCCACGATGTCCACGGATACGATTTTCAAAGTTTTACCCATGGGGGTGGCGATCCCGTAGCCCTTGCTATCGAGAAGTCCGCCGATCTGAGTGAGATTGCAATCCCTCTGCACGATGTAATCGAGCATGGTCGACTCCATGAGGAACGCGTAATCGCCTTGGAGCACCCTCTGGATACCCTCCTCGTAGGTGGGCACAAACACAGACGGCTTTTTGTTCTCCATGAACCGCCACATTTTCTTGTACGTCTCGATCATCGAGTCCTTGGTGGAATTCAGATCACGTACGCGTCAGACAAGCTGAAAAATCTCTATCCGTTTACGAAGATAGGCACAATTACCCTGAAGAAGGTCATGGTGCTCCCGCTGTCCAGGGTCCCGTAAGCGATGTCCGTCTGCCCGGCGAGATCCTCCGCGTTCTCGATCGGCGTTATCATCCTCTCGACCGTGAGGAACGCCGCCAGATTCGCCGTGTACGACGAGATGATTATCAGCGTGAAGAACCACCATATTCCGCCCACTATTCTCGTGCTGGTTGCCTGAGAATCGATGAAAACCCATCGATGCAAATGGAGGCGATACAGGACGATTCTAGCGATTATGCTTCTTAACGACGTACGATTTAATTCCAAATAATTTTTCAAACGCGTACTATTTAATTTTGCTTAAATTTCAGTTTTACGAATACCTCGTGAATGTAAACATCTGTTGATCTTAACCCTTTGACGTAAGAATTTATCCTAAATAATTTTTCAAACGCGTACTATTTACTTTTGCTTAAATTTGAGTTTTACGAATACCTTGTGAATGTAAACATCTGTTGATCTTAACCCTTTGAAGTAAGAATTTATCCTAAATAATTTTTCAAACGTGCACTACTTAATTTTATTTGAATTTGATCGTGCAAGGAATGGTTTTAATATAAAAGATGATGAATGAGTAGCCTCATGATCACTTGACATCCAGAACTTGTGACAAGTCAGACTCGTCGTTGTACAAGGAATTAATACACGTGAAACGTTAAGCGTATGATTATTAGACAAAAAGAATAGTCTAATATTTAGTTTGTTATTCTAAGTTTTCGCGAGAATTTGTCCATGCAGAACTCGATGCAGTGTCAAGCTCTCATAGTGATTGCACATTGTTGAAGGGAAAGCAATGTACCTTGGGGTTCAGATCACTGCCCTGTTGCATCAGAGTGCCGATGGTGAACCAGAAGCTGTTGGCCAGCGAGAATTGGTTCTCGACAACCTCGGAGCCCGCATGACAGGGGTACGGATTATTCCATTCGTACGGACTGAATCTAGCTACCACGAACATCGTCACCGAGACCAGGACGTACGCCGCCAGGACGTAAAGCCAAATCTCGATGGCCAGCGGGTTCATGAAAGAGAAGAGGCGAGCTGGGTGACTGGTCGGTACCTGGAATCCAATTTCCACCTAATGAATCCCCCATCTGTTCGACAGTGACGCTGCCAACGTAATTTACAATGGAGAAATCGACTAGCTCGGTTCGATGTATAATGTCTCAATCGCTCTCGGCGGTTTCGGATCTTTCGCGCCATCGATAAGGATGAAAATACCATCACTGTTACTGTTACTATTACTATTACTATTCCTATTACTATTCCTGGCGATCCACGTGACTCAAGGTGCTCGGATTAACCGTGGATTAGGTCCGTTGCATGTCCAGCTTAACCGCAGCTAAAATTAACGAGCCTATTGCCGTTCCCGAAATGGCGTACGTTGGCATTGAACGTGACTGTGCCCCTATCGATTCTGATTTCAATTAAATTCAAGCTCCACGCGTTTACACGGGGCTACCTTCCTCATAACGTTGCTTGTAAATTCTGTCTAACGGGTGAGTTCATTATCAGACGTCCGTGTGTGCACGTTGCCGGGCAAAGTCCACGCGTATCTATAAAGCGTCTATGTATCTACGATGTGTATCTGTATCCACTCTGTTTACACGTATCTGCGACGAGCATGTGTACCTGCGGCGACTATGCCTCTGCGGACAGAGGTTCCCGTACCTTTATTTCTATTATATGCTCTGTAAATTTCCGCCACGCGAAAATGTTTCGATCGTTTTGCTACGAATGATTTTGTTACTAGAATTTTAAAAAAATATTGAACGTCAAATACGATAGGTTTACACCATTATGTAATCATGTGTATGTACCGAGAGGGATGATTTCGTTTCCTACTTGAGTTTGGGGTGGAAATTGTCGGCCGAATACGGAAATTGCTGTAAATAAGGCATCGCGCGATCGGAACGGATGAACGGAGTAACGAACGACCGCGAATCGATCGGAAGTACGCGTCTACCACGGTTGACAAGCCGCTAGGAATCCATCCGCGCGATTCCTGCCCGATTTTCGAGCGGGCGCAGTACATTATCGCGCCGCCTCATTTACGCGCTTGTCGTAAATTCCGCCGTATATCCGATCTTGTCGTTGAAATTCCGCCCGCCCGCAATCTCCACTGTCTGCTAACGGAGATTTACGAGTTTGGATATATTTTTCGTCACGCTTCAACGGTCGCTGGCGGAAGTTTACGATCTCGTTCTTGGGAGTCGTCAAATGGGAGGCGAACCGCGTCGCGGCCAGTCGCGAGATTCGTCGCCGCTTGGAAACAGGGTTAAGGAGTCTCATGTAAATTATAGAAAATTGAACCATTTTTCTTAATTTTTTTGAAGGAAATGTAACATCAGTTTACTTAGCTATCCTTTGGGAATACAAGATAATTTTTGTATTAATTTTTATTAACTTTTAATATTGTTATCACGTCTGCAGTAAACATGTGTTTAAACACTGGCGTAGGTGATTGCAGCTTCTTTCAAGGTTGACTAAATCAAAAAAATCAAAAAGATTTTTATTCGGTAGGTTTACAGTTATCGTCCGTACCAAAATAATTAATTTATATTGCGAATTGACAAAATGGTGAAAGCTTAAAGTAAAAATTGCAAAATTGATACAAAAAATGTTCTACAATTCACAATACTTGACATTTATCTCTGAAAATTTAACAGTACATTCTTAAATATATATACTTTCAAAAAATGAAGCAAAAGAAAAAATTGATATTTTTGACGTCTCACATGAGACTCCCCCCTTAATAACGTAGACACAATTCGAATCATTCCTGTGTTCATTTGAAAATATGAATTTAGGTAAATTAAAAATTTAAGGTTGAGTTTTTGAATGCCTCGATTATTAAAACAGCACGAAATTCGTTCGAGGATGAGTCTTGATTCCACTGCACCCATTTTTGCAACAAGCAGAAACGTAAGACATCGCGTCTGCTTTTTCTTTGCTACGCAAAATATTCCCCCACTGCGTCTACGTAGACGCAACAGCTTGTAATATCGCGACAAGTGCTTCGATGCAAATGCGACAGGTGCAGAGTATACCGCAGGACGATCGATTACGATATCGAATAATTAAAGGACACTTCGGGCAACGACAGCGACGCTGATTGCAATTATGCGGTCGCGTTACATTAATTAAAGTAACCGTAGCCCGACGTCGATCGCGCGCCCCCAATATCGAAACGATCCTCGTTCCTCGAATGGACAAAGAGTACCGAAACGAAACAGTTTCAAACTCGAAACTTTTATTCGTTATTAAAAATAATTTGAAAAAGGCAAATAGTACTGGTATTTTTTAAAATAACATCGATGGCGATTGGAATGTTGAGAAATCAGAATTTATCGACGATTGTTAGTTTGGGGTAGTCGTTCAGTGGTTGGACAAAATTCTTGGAAATTAACGAGTAGTTCGTTGGATTGGCCCCGTCATTACTCGAACGCAATTCCAGAAGCTAGGTAAAAAGGTCGAGGCAGAAACGCGTAAAGCGTAAGAGGAAGAGGAACGAGGGAAAAGTGGAACTGGCACGGTCGTCTCGTAAATTTGGCCAAGCGAAACGCCCGATTGAGTTTTCCATCGATACCCGGGGCAAATAGAAGGCGGGACGTGAAAACGAGGCTGAGTCCGACGGAGGCACGATCGTCTAGAAAATTTTATTTAGGGTCTGGTTCTCGACTGCTCGCCTCCTTTCGACTTCTCCTCATTATTGCCGTCGTTATCGTTCCGGCGTCGCGTGTTCTTGCGCGACGACATTGTTCCATCGACTGTCGCGAACGTGAGACCCTGTCAGCGATGCATTTCGCGGAAATCGAAGCTTTTCATCCGATAAACCAGCAATGCTCGACCATTTTCTACGTGCCAACTACTGGTTCTCAGTCGTGTGCTCGAGAAAAAATTACAACCTTTTTTCAACGTTTATTATATAGGCGAATAGCAATAAATATCAAAATTAAAAATATTATCCATGCCGTTCGTGTCTTGGAACAGTCAAACGTATTAAAAATAGTTAAGATTTACACGCGTACAGTTCCGAAATTGCTAGTGTTTTATTAATAACTGAGCCACTGTTAGAAGAGGTAAACCTTCCTCTTTGAAATGGTTTTTGGTTTTTGTCGATCGGACTTTTCGTTCTCGAGATATCGTAATTTATGTCAAGAGGTAATTTTTCAATTTCCACTATCTCTCTGTCCGGCTTGCGTACAATAGTCTATTACCACGTATTAAAACTAGTAAAACTTTAGACGCGTGCAGTTCCGAAATTGCTAGTGTTTTATTAATAACTGAGCCACTGTTAGAAGAGGTAAACCTTCCTCTTTGAAATGGTTTTTGGTTTTTGTCGATCGGACTTTTCGTTCTCGAGATATCGCAATTTATGTAAAGGGGTAATTTTTTTAATTCGACTATCTCTGTCTCCGTCTGACGCGTCGCGCTGGACCTCTCTTTCTCGCACGTGACTCGCGACCGAGTGACCTAGTTTCTCCGAGTCACGTGCCGGTCAACGACCTTGACAAGGCCGTAGTAAGAATGTAAACAAACGCTTCGGACCCTTATATCTCCCGAACTAGCCACCGCATCGACTTGAAATTAAAATCGCTATATCTCCGGAACTAATAAAGCTATCGACTTGTTTGAACGCTCGTTTTAAAGGGCATTCCATCCCCTATCCAATGACTACATCAACTATTATTATTTATGCTATCTTCTATGTTTATTTTTAAATTTAATTTGACTCTTATGCACCCAAAGATGTTTTAACAATTCCTATTGATTATACTACTCGTGTGTGACAACACTGGATTATAAATTGTTTATTTGATAGAAAATGAATCTAAATGTGTATACTTTTTCGTAAATAATTGTTTTCTATGGAACTAACTACAGTATCAACTTGAAACAAACATCTCAAAGGGCGCCTCATTTTCTTTTTCATTAATATACAAACTATTATAATTTATACCGTTTTCTATGTGTATTGTGAAAACTAGTTATTCAATTACTATAATTAACGTTGTCTTCCATGTTTATTTTGACGATACACAGATGCATGTAAGACTAAATTTATGACCACCTAACATTCGTTCTATAAAATTTGATTTGATTCTTGTATACAAGGTGCTAACTAACGTAATAATATTTCCTGTCGACAGGCTCACAATAATTTATATAAATAAGTTGTGTTTTAAGAAAAAATGTGTGACATAAAAAAGAAAGATATGTCACGAATAAATTTCGAAAAAGATTGGTCATTTGACCGGTCATGGTAGGATTGGATATACATGAAGTTTCGGTGGGTTTAGTGTTAAGAGTTTCAGGAAAATCCTCTTTACGAACTGCATTTGGGGATGTCGGTTTAAATATTGACTCAAATCCCTCGAAGAGCCTGGCTATAATAATGAAAGGAGTTAGAGTGGAGAAGATAGGGGGAATGAGGAAACATAACATAAAATGTATCGTATTATGTATACTTGGTGAAAATTCTTTCGGAATTTTCTACCGACATCAACTTCTCTTTTAAACAAAGTTACACAATATATTTTTATTTGTTGCAATCTTCTAAAGTTTCTGAACATGGAATTTGAAATACTCGTAATTTCAATTTGATTACCTTCCCATTAGTTAGAATCGAACGAAAGACCACATTATTTTTTACCAAATATTGCCCGTGGTTATTCAAGGGGGATAAATTTAATACTCGAATTACTCGAAACTTCTACTCGAGTTCGAAACGCCGCGTAGGAAGTAAAACGTGGCGTGAAATTGAAATTATGAGTCTCGAAAACAGGACGGGGTGGCAATTTCGAACAGGGCTGGATTATGGGGGTGTTTTATTTGGCCCGACCAATCTCTTAAGCGCGCGCTCGAGCTCTTATCCTTTCACCCAGGATAATTGCCTGGCGATTAGGTAAATCCCCGCGCTCCGACGCGAACCAGGCAATATTTTCGCTGTTTTTCATTCTTACCTTGAAGAGGATCGAGATGCCGAGGTTCATGAACGGCTTGGTGAAGTCGATCACGCTCTCGCGGGCGTAATTGATGGTCATCGAGCCGACCGCCAGGTCCGCTTTCTGCGAATAGAGACGGATTGGTTCGATCAGTCGACGGGAACGTTGAAATTATTGCAGCTGGAGAGGCTGAGTTCGATGCAGTGTGGTGCGATTTAAGTGTGCGCGTGTCTGTGAACGCTATCACGGGCAGATACGTGGATCTACGTGGTGGAAGAGGAGCTATGGTGCGTCGAGAGTACTGTTCGGAGCTGAGGAGTATTGTCCCACGAGCCATCGTGGGCTTAAGAACAAGAATAGCATGACTATTTATTCTGGAATACCATAGAAAAGTTTGCAGTGCAGAATCTCCATTAAAAAAAAAAAAAAAAAAAAAATACGGATTTAAGATAATTTAGAAGTAAGTACGATCCTTTGCAGCTCTCAGTAGCTGAATTATGGTTGGCGGAGGGCGTAGATCAAGGTTTCTGACCGCAATTCGTGAACGTGTGACGATAGTTATTGCTGTTGCACGAAATAGCGTTTCCTACCTGTTTCTTTCTTCGCATTCCTTCGCATGCTTGTACTCAGCTTGAATATCGAGAACAGTGACAGTATATTTATTCTATTCGAGCTAATATACTGATTACTATCAGAAGGCGCAGGACTCAAGATTTTTGCATAAGCATTGCTAGATTTAACACGCTATCTTAAATATTTATTCTACTTCTATGCTAAGGTAGACCTCGCAGACAGAATAACGACGAATCAGATTCTAAAAGGATTGCGATCTATCGCTCGATCGGTTTCTTAATTAATGCCTTATCCAAGGCTTCTATCGAGAGATCTCCTCCTTTCTAAGCAATAAGAAACTAACGTTATGATATTGTTTCTAAGTCTACAACCGTCTGGAGAACAGAATAACTATCGAACTTCTAAAATTCTAACGTCAACCGTTTCTATTCTTCAAAATCCGAATGTTATTCGTGATTTAGTCCAGTTTTGCGTAAACCCTCCCAAGAAATTTCGTTAAATCTCTGCTAGATCTCTCTTTAAAATTCGAGGGGGTTTGACTTTTTGATGATTTGGACGTCGTTAAGGACTCTTCGCCAGATTCACGTTCTGGTCAGTCGAGTGGCACGAGGACGTTAAAAATTTGGCTCGAAATGCTTCTCGGTGAAGAATACGAGACGGGACAGGCCTCTTTTCCAGCGTTTGGAGAAGCACTTGCTATACCATTGCACCGGTGCCAGGCTAGACAGATTTATTTCGCTGCTTGGAAATCGTACTCGTGGCCACCGCCGATAAAGAGGACCGAAAGAAGTCGTTCAGCCTTTCGTTTAGAATTTCTCCACGTTTCTCCTTTCATCCAACCTACTCCACCATTGATAGAAATTTATATGGACAGTATAAAACCCTATGAACGAGGCAGAAGTATGGCCAAACGGTCGAAGATCGCTTTCGAGCAACAGTATTATTACCATCACCGATTGCTCCTATTATATCATCAGAAGCGCAGGTTTTTCGATTAAAAATGAGTGTAATAGCAATTTTCCACGTTATGGAATGAAACGGAATAGTTCTTCTGAGTCGATTTGTCTTAAACTTCGAATCGTCTCGTTTAATATTATTTATAAATTGAACGAAGTTGTACGGCGGGATCGAGAGTGGTTCAATCTCCGATGTGGGGATCAAATTCATCTCCAGGAAAACGAGTTTCGTACCGACACACTGCCAGGTATTTACGTGAAAACTGCTTCTTATCTTTCGAGGATTTAGTTCGCTTCGAGGAAACTTTCTTTCAACGTCTCGTGACTTCTTGGCATGTATGTAAATTGAAAAGTAAAGCTTGTTGGGAACACCGTCGAAAGGAAATTAACCGAGTTAGATTTGATCGTTAGAGTCCCGCTCGTCGACGAAATTCAGCTATCGATCGAGGCTGCATAATTATAGAAAACACTTTGCAAAAGTGTCGTTTGCTTGTTCGCCGTATTCGGATGCTTGATTGTAGGAGTGTTCGCCGCAATGTCTAATCAAAATTTACGCCTCGTTAAACCGGGCTGTCGGCCCGTACCGTCGTCGCCCCGCCACCATCAATAAATGCCATAACACTTCATTCATCTCGATGCAACGTACTCAGCGCGGCGCGAATTCGCGCTCACGGTAATTTCCCGTTGATTTACAACTGCCTCCCGGCTCGATCTCCGACGATAATCGAGTAATTTGTTGCTCGTACTTTCGGTCGACGACAGCTCGACAACGCGAAGAGTTGTCGATAGCATTCGCGTATGGATCACCTACTAACTCAACGTGGACGTCGCCCCAAGACGTACGGTCGATCGCGAAAACGATAGATCCAACGATGACACATATTTTCAGACAAGTTCAAAAATTATTTTAAGCCTGGCGACAAAACGAATTTATTATCGTATCGTTCACTCTCAAAGCTCTGAAAGAAATAGCGTGCATGGGTCTGAACGGACCCGGTGTCAAATTTTTAGATAATTATTCAATTTCTAGGGAGGCGTATTTTTATTAAGATTCTTCTTTATTTATGTATCAAATTCTCAGTCATCGAATCTTGGATCAATCCTTATCTTGCGCCGGTGTTGGATAAATTTACGCATATTTCATAAGGCTGTCCATTAATCACGAGGCTCGCGTAAATTATACGCCTATCTATTTCCATTAGAGAACGAAAGGAATGGTAAAGTAGTCGAGATATTTGGTCTGGAGTTCTCTTCCTTCTTTATTACGGGAAATTGTACTGGTTAAGTCGCGTTTCCCCGTTCGCGAGGTCGCTACGATGCGAGAATTATTAATGATCATCCCCGCGAAATTAATAACGCGGTCGCCGCGATACAGCGCAGCGACCGCTTTGTAACAGCTGTCGTCCAAAGCGAAGAAAAAGTCTCGAATACCGGGTGATGAATTATTCTTCGTTTCGGTTCTTTAATACGTTTCGAGGGTTAATTATTGGCCCCGGAAAATACTGCTCGTTTCGTGCATTTATTAATCGCGATCACCGACCGTCGTCGAGATTAATAATTCAAAAAACGAAAATACTGGTTGGGGAGTGATTTTTGGCTCTTTAAAATTCGAAATTGCAATTTCGTTTCATTGTTGGGCGACGCGTGCAAGTATTTCGAAAGGCACGTATTTCGTAAACACGCGGAAATTATTGCCACGTCGATAGACCGAGACAGCGATTTTAATTATTCCGCGGATACAGATTTCGATAAACACGCCTGGCGCTCATACATAATGTATACCGCGGAAAAGTACACTGTTCGACTTTCGGCCGGGCAGAATACTAATCCAGCGCGCAGAATTTATGGCGAAAGTAGCTTCGGAACATAGACACACCCACTACGGAGTCGCGCGTCGTGGTTTCGTTCACCATGATGAATTCATCCCCGTACGAGCGTCATGTGTGATTTAATATCGCCTGGCATACTTTCCAGAAAAGCTCTGTGCGTTTCATTACACGCGTTCGAACGTTATCGAAATCCCTTATTCAAATTACATTCGTATCCAATGCATTTTCAATTACAATTACTTTAGTGTTTGTTATTTCTGTTCTAAGCCACAGATTCTCGATATCGTCGGTTTGAACTATTATTGCAAGCGTTCGCCAGTTATTAATAGCAGATGGAAAATGTATTTTGCTTAAGAAACGACCGATGTCTGCTGAATTTAAGTTTGACACAGTTCTGAAGTAAGAGTGGATCTCGGATCGTGAATCTGCATCGCAAAGCCAACAAAATGGTAGCGATGAACGCGCAGTAGTCGGGGTAAATCTATTTCCACCGTCGGACGAGGACGTAAATCTACTTCGCAACGAACGTGTTAAGCCTAGAAAGGATACGGGTGTATTAGGGAACCCCATTAAATTACAAATGCTTCGGTAATTTTGTTATTGGAATATTGGTAACCCTAGCATTCAAATTATACGCGTCGGTGATGTTAGAGAAAAAAGGGAATTTCGATCGTTGTAGTCCTTCGTCCTCATTAATGTATAAAACAATTTTATAACGAGGACTGCAATTTTTTCAAAATAGAAGAGTAGAATCGAACTGTAGCATAACAAGCATAACGATGGCCAACTTATGGTCTAGCGAGCAAAAGGCAATAACGATGGTAATCTGCGCATATTTCCATAAAACTATTTATTTTTCTAACGAGCACCGGTATGTCATCAAATATTGGGAAATTTGTAGTGTACGTACATAGAACTAACATTACAGACGTCACAAATAAAAAGGCTTCGTTGCAGAAAACATATATTGAACACTATTTGTTCGAAATTAAATGCAATCTATTTATCTGTGATCCCATAAATAAACTAGAATTTATTAGTAAGAGAGTCTAGGTATGTTCCAAAATGAAGAAACGTTTTCCCGAATTTCCTTGAAACGTAAAATCGATACGAGAGCACTCCAATTGCCGACTGATCCTACGTTTAATATTTCTATCGCGGTTTATAGGTTTCCCTGAGCGGCACCGAAGGTTCGATTAGGCGGTAATAACGCTAATTTACTAACACCATTAGAGTATTTCGATCCCGACTGTATGGGATGTGCGACGTAAGCCTGCACTTAATCAATCGGCCGTGTGCGTATTAGCTGCTACGTGGAACGTGGCTGACAGCTAAAGCTACGCGAATCACGGCTGGTTTCGCGCCTCCCGGTTAGGAGAACAACGCATCACGCGTTTCCACGTGCTCCAGTTGCGCAACGGAGTCCTGATTTGCATTGCAAAGCCGCCTAGAATCTCTCGTAACGCCCGTGTCTTCGTTATCGGTGCCGGGAACTTGCACTTGGGAATGCGAATCTCGAAGCAGCGGTAGTTCAACCGACTGTACACGATAATTCCTGCACCTCCTCCTACGATAGTTGCACGATATTTTATACCCAATTCTTATACTCTAGAAGTCTCTCTTGACTCGACCGTATGGCCAATAAAAAATAGCGGAATTCTAAATCCTAAACCAACCGTTTTCACCTGCCAACAGAGCTAATCTTCCTGAATATTTCTCTTTTTTCGTTAAAATAAAGAGGTCCTTTCTCGCGTTTTTAGTCTCGTGATTTCGCAATCGAATCTATACTTTTTGTAATTTCATCGAGAAGACTACCAAGACGTACAATTAATCCTTTCTACTTTAAAGGGAATTTCTCAGAGTCCTCGTAATGTAGCTATCGTTCCCGTTTAATGCACGATTCCGTTTCAAAATGGCGGGTCTGAGGGCGGGGGAATTGTCGATCCTGGGTGCTCCATTGCAGGAAACTCGGTAACCCAGAATTCCTGGAGCTCGTCTCGTCGTCGATCGTGGGAGACTGCTCGGGTTAGCTGTTTAGACTACCAAAGTGTCCCGGGGTATACTTACAGACCGACGTGTAACGCTTTATCTACGCCACGGGGTCGAGATCGCGACGAGTACACGGTTTGCGAGGTTGCGGCATGTAAATAGAGACGAGTCGACGAACACGGACGCTTTCGAGTGCATACTCACCTTGTCCATCAGCTGGCGGACTATTCCGTTCCACTCTCCGGTCTCGTAATCGTAAACGCCGTATTTGCCATCGGGCACGAGCTCGATCCTGTAGGTGAAGCCCACCATGTGAGCTATCTTCTTGAGCAGATCGATGCAGAAGCCCTCGTAACGTGCGTTCCCGCTGAAATTCCCTCTGCTCTTCAGCATTACGTACGGCTGCTCCTACGGGGACCATAAAAAGGAGCTACTACCTTTCGTCCTCTTGTTCCTCTTCTTTCCGCTAGCTCCGACTATCTTTTCGTTTCCTGTTCCCGCTGTGAAACCCGTTTTGTTCCCTTCTATCGTTGTCTACTCTCTCATAATACGTCTTCTCGCATTCTACCTTTCTCTCCCCCTCCTCTCTGTTCCCCCTTCCGTACGTTGTATTTTTATCTACTACACCGCGTTATATCACCGCGCTCTTATTCTTCCTACGTTTCACCTCGCGTTTTTGCTGCTTCGAATTCCCCGCGTTTCTTCCTCCACTGACCCTTTGTTCTAAAAGTATCCTTCGACCCTTGTTAGGATGCTATTCTTCACTGGATTTTACGCTCCCTCTTTGCCCCGGCAATGTCTCGTATAAAACTAATGATCTCTCTTGGGTGATTCTACAGGGATGAGGTTTCCTTTTTTTCAAAAACCTTTATTACTCGTTACGAATTATAAACGCAATATCTGTTAAACACCGTTTTGATTCGGTTAGCGACTTATCGGACGAAGTAGTTCAGGCTAGAAGCCGAGAACATTGGAGACGTGCCCGCACATTAAGCCTTCAGGATCCCGGAGAATTGCAAATTGATCGTCGACGTCGACAGGCCCTGTTAAACACGCTAAGTTATAGGGAACGTCCACGGTGCCAGAAAGAGGAACAGAGAGAAGTCGCGTCGAGTACGACGATTAATAATTCTCCCCGATTGGCGAGACCCTCGAATACTGGCGATATCGTCGATTGACTTTGGACAAGATTAACGGCCGGCGATTAATAAAGCGTCTCGATAATCGACCTACGACCGTTACTGATAAAATAACTTCGCTGTTGCTTCCAACGAGTTCGATCGATCGCAATTTTCCCGTTAATCGCTCGTCGAACGTACATACGCGGATCAAGCATGCAAGCGTCACGGAATTTTCGACTTTGATGGCTATCCTCGCGATAATCAGACACTATCCGTAACGATCTCTCAACGATTCACGTAAATACAGAATTCTTGTAGACTGTAAATCTTCTCGTAACACAATTTTTTCTAACTAAGAACACTGTAGTTTGAAAAGTAATCGAACATTGTGACGCATACAGGGCGTCGAAACAGAATATTTAGAGACTTCGAGAGCATTCGCGAAATTCAGAGATTATTTTTCAAATAAAAGTAAAAATCAGATGCAGCCTGGCGAACACAGTGGTCGTAAAACATTTCAGCCAAGCTGCGATAATTTTTCTCCCGTTGCGAAACATACAGGGTCGTACGTTATCGTCCAAACACCATGGCCGTTTCTTTCGTACGGTTTTAATTTATCCAGACTGGTGAAACACGGAGAGTTTTGAAATTACAGAGAGACATTACATGGTATGCGAGCTCTCGAAGTCGGTGTTCGTTTTTCTCTCTCGACACCCTGTTACCGTGTTATTTAATTGCATGCTTAAACCGAGGAAGAAGGGTACAAAGGAGACGGTCGTCGGTTTGGTCGTCTCCCGATCGGCGTTCCTATAATCCGTGCTCGATTTATGGGCTTTGTTACGCGGCGGGCCGACGCTCGCTGACAATTAACGCGCGGCTACCGTGATTTACCTTCGACTCCACGACTCGCGCGGCCGATGATCGATCGTGTCGGAAGGTGACGGGCTTAGGCGCGCCGTTTCCAAGTTTTACCCCCGGTCCCGGAAACTTCGAAAGGAAAGCAATATCTGAATTCTCTGACCGCGTTATATATTTATTTTACGCGGGGAATCGATTCAAACTTCATCCCAGGCTCCGACCTCCGCGAAAAGCAGATTTATAAAATACAAAATCGAATGATAGAAATCGTTTTCACTCGCACAGAATATTTCCTTTATCTTGGACGTGTATTCTCGTCTGGTTCAAATTTGAAATAATGGAAAAATTCTACTAGTATAAAGGTGGTAGAAAAATTCGACATTTTTGGCTTCTTTGTAATAAAATTATTCGTACGTTTTATGTGGGGACCTGAACTTCGAAGGGGATGAGTTTGAATCGCTTCTGGCGAAATAGAAAAATATAAAGTAGTTTGAGAGACTAAGAGTTGCTTTTCTTCGAACAGTTTTACAAATTCACAGGGCGAAGGGTGTTCTTTATAAATTCCATGAAAAGTGTAGTCAGTTCCAGGTACTCTCCCCGGTGTGAAGGTGTCTTGTGAACGAAGGTGCGGTCAATCTCTAGTTTACTGGTTGAACACGTTTCTAACTGGCAATTTAGCGGTGTCTCGCTGCTGAGAGGTGAGTTCGGTCGGGATCGTGTGAGATTACGCTTTGAACGGTGGCTGGGAAAATTATTTAGTTCGAGCCGTACGTGTCGCAATGTAACTTTAACCCTCAATTGGCGGGCCGAGATAGCGGACCGTGGTAAAGCCTGCGAATCTGATTGGATTTCACCGGGAGCTTGGCAATTTGCACACTTTATCCACGGCCCGCGAAGCACGAAGTACGATACGATCGTTTATTTATGAGAACCGTCGACGATCTTCGATTTTTATGAAATTTAGCGCAACGAACAACGTTGGAATTGAAAAAGAGACACTCGAGCGTCGTCTCTACAGATTTATTTTCAAAATAAAGTTCTCGCTGGGTCTGAAATAAAATCCGCCAGGCAGCCTTATCGACGAGTCTTGGATGAAACGCGGAAAACCTTTCTGTTCCTTCCTGTTTCTGTCCGCCCCCATTTTCCTGGCTCGTCCCACATGTTGATGAGATCGACACCTGAGGGACACGGATCAGAAAACGGAGCAGAAATCTCGAAATGGAGAACGACGTCGTCGATACTCTCGCGTCGAGGTAACTTTGGAATAGATTTCACTCTGTATAATATTTCTCAACGCTCCATCCGTGCGCCAAGATTCGTAAAAATCAACGACCGTCGATCGGACGATGTTTAGAATATTTTATCCGTACATTCGATCGAGGGTTAAAGCGGAAATTGTCCGTGCAGAGACTTTCAGACACTCTCTACTATCTGAGCTACGATCTCCACCCGTTTCTCATTACATCGAATCGGGTACTAAGAGTGCACAGTACATTAGAACATTAAATTGCACAGTGTAAAAATCCTCTATGTTAACCTACTAACATAAGGTGCGTTCGTGTTCAAGGCTATAAATAAGTATAAAATGATTTGCTAACGATCGTACATACAGGCTGTTCGCCTACAGGTGGGCGATCCTTTAAGGGCTATTCTACGTGCAGAGAATAAAAGTTTTCTTCACAGGAAAAGATTACACTCAACATTTTTCAAACAAATAAAATTTTTATCAGACTTTAAGACGAGAAGATAAAATTTATTTATCTTAGGCACGAAGAATTACCGCTCAAAGCTTTCGACGCCTGTGGTTGTTAAACACAGTTCTGTACGTACGATATAATTGTATCAAAGGATAACGAGTAAATAAATCTAATGAAACGAGACTAAAGAAATCAGCAAAGGGGTGTAACAAGTTTCTATAGTTACCTACGGAGACCATGTGTATCAGTGTTTTATGTAAGATCGGCAAGGGTGAACCAAGTAAGATGAGAAAAATTAAACAAACCAAATCATACATGTCGCATGAGTTCTCTGACGATGCCGTTCCACTCCCCGGTTTCCGGGTCTTTCGCGCCGTACTTCCTGTCCGGTACCAGCTCCAATCGGTAAGAGAAGCCGACCTCCCTCGCCACCGCCTCCAGAAGGTCCACGCAAAAACCGTAAAACCGCGCGTTCCCCGTGTAGTTTTTTTCGTAGTGCATCATCACGTACGGAATTTCCTGTGCGTAAACACGGGGCCCATGCAAAGAACGGAACACGCTGTCAGATCTGTACGATTCACGATCGACTACACTCGATCCTCCCAAATTTGTCGACTTTTCGTTCGTATGGTTCTTCGTTGCTCGAAGGGATTCGTAATTCCCCGATTTTCACTATTTTACTCCAGCCTTTTATTTCTAATCCTTCGTTTTTCAACCTACCAGGGTAACGTCTTGTTACGAACCATTCACAAAATATAATTCCTCGCTGAAACTGTCATTTTACCAAATTGGTAATAGGGATTAAAATGAAGGTTTGATTGAGTCAAGTGTGAGTTAGTTTTGGGTACGTTTGTGTTATAAATGTCTCGTTTCAGCGTTAAAATGAAGCTCAAGAACAAAACTGAAGTCGAATAGTCAAAACGGTGGGAAGTTACTGAACCGTGGAATTAAGGCGGAGGCTTTTTACGATGGGAGGAACGCACGCCGTTTGGATCGTTCGCTTCAGCGCTCCCCAAACTAATTTCCGTGGAGTACTTAACGTCTAGAAAATGGAAGAATCGACTTGGGAGATCTCCTGCTAAACTTCATGTTTATTCAACTGGCCGGTATAACGGATACCGGACATAAAGTACGAGATTCCGTACCATTGGTAGATGCAATCGCTGTTTATTACTTTACGACGTAGACCGGAAATGTTCTTCTTCGATCTGGTGCTTCAGTCTCGAATCTGCGTATCGGGCCGAGGCGTCTTACAAGATAAGCGCACAACCACTCCCACTCTGATTCCAAACTACCGTTTGCGAGTAGATTACTGGTTGCTTCGTGCAAAATACTTGGCGTGTTACATCGGAAAATTTCAAAGACACCAATTTACGTTCCTTGCAAGACGTACTACGAACATTAATCTCGAATTTTCAATGGACTTCAAGAAATAGTAGAAAACGAAATATGTGACTGATGTCACAGAGTACTGCAAAGTGTATGATTGTACTCGTATCTTTAAAATTACAGACTGGTTGCTTTTAATATTTTATACGTAGCAATAGTAGCCTGCTAGTCTACGAAAGGACGATGAAATCGGAGGTGGAGATGATTCGTGTGTCCGAGATTACTGGTTCCCTTTGATACGCTTCGCAGTCATCGAGGCTGGTTCTTCAATTTTTGATCAGCGACCGAATCCGGCACCGTATCGTCAGTGTCGAGGTTTCGTTAAATTTTTCCCCGCCGTTGCTTCGCCTTTACGCGCGTTTCGCCGTTAAAGCTGACTTTGATCGAGCTCGATCGGGCTCGACGGTTCGGTTGGAAGAGAATTAATGCATAAAACGCGACGCCTTTCGGCGATTACGTTCATATATATCGATGATTCCGCGTCGACGGAAGAAATACGCGGCTCTAGGCGAAATATCCATAACGCTTGTCATGCTCGATAAGAGACTCACCAGTATCGTAATGACGAGAAGAGTGACGTTCGCGGATCCTGGCTCGAAGAAGGTCGCTGTGTCCGTCACGTTGACGCCCACGCCTGGACGCCACTCGCCGACCTGGTGATCCAATTATTACGATCCGTAAAAGTTTTAGATTTCCTCTATTCGCTAGTACTCTGCTTCGAACGATGGTAAAACATTTTGGCTTTTAATGTAACAACACTTTAAAATTGAAGGGAATGATATGGAACAATTAGATATGTATTATTTGAATGTGTCGTCAAGATTTCGATCGGTAGTGGGTGTTACGGGGGCGGAGTTAAGAATTCTGACGAATAGGACCCGCATTCCTTGCAGGGGAAATGTCTCGATTCGCTACGGTACGCGTTTGTATAGAAAGGACCTTATAAAGCCATTGGGGGGGTTAAGTTTCTTTCGTTTTCGGTAACCTATGGACGTACCTTGACGAGCGAGTGTTGCTTCAGCTTCAGCAGGTCCAGCTTGAATTGAATTCTGCGGCCTTCTTTGAACTCTATGGGCCCGGAAATGCCTTTCATCTCGACCTGAAAGGACACAAAGAGAGTCAATGCTCCATTACCTCCGGCGATAAGAGCAATTTTGCCGCGTAAATAAAGCAACAAACTTTGACCAATAGCTAGTACACTTTAAAAAACTCGATCTACAGGACCATATTAAAATTTTGAATCGACTGAATTAGAAAAAGATCATCGCCCATAATTTCTTAATATTATTACTCTTTCAAAAATAAAATAATATTTTCAAACATTTCGGAACACTTCGAGGAACCATAAAAAAAGCAAACCGTTAAAACCGTCGCCGCCTTAAAACAAATCGATGTTCGATAACATTGATACCGAACGGACCGCATTTATCTTCAATTTGCAATTTTAAAAATCACACTGCGATATTTAGCCAAGAAATAAGGTAATTCGCAAAAATGTCGAAAGTAGATGGAGGAAGACTCGAAATTGATTTAATTCGTCGGGAATAAAAATGCTTCCACGTTTTACGACGTTCGTCCGAACAGAGTAAATAGCGAACGTTTTAAAAGTTTCCCCGGGAGAGGATCTCGAGGGTTCAAGTTTTGCAGTATCTTCGCGGGAGCAATATCCCCGAATCGTCGTTCATCGGTCGCGCGGGATCATAATGCGCCCCGATCGCGATCAGGGGATCCCGGAGGCGCGTTAAAAATTTCACCGCTTAAAAAGTCGTTACGCGTGTCGGCTCTGCCGGCGCGAAAAGTCCGCGCGGAAAGTCGGCCAACGTTGATCCGCGATTTTCTACATTCTCGCGAAAATATTTTGCGAACGTGCACACCACCGTCGAAGCTCTCGGGGAAGGACCTTACGGGGTCGTGGCTCGGACTCCTCGAGGATCGTGGGACGCATAAATTTCAGAAACACGTCGAGGAGCTCCGCCCTCCCTCCGCCACGACTCTTTAATCTCTTCCGCGTCGTCGTTTTTCTTATCGCGGTGCCACTGGCCGCGATGCAAATGCGCAATTATGATTCAACGATCGTGAAAAGATTTTTTTCGAACTTGCGCCGCGAGGATTGGACGACGTTCTCTCGTTTTTTCTCCCCGCGCCGGAATTTCGCTGGAAAGTGGCTTCTTGATCGTAAATCTTCCGGCCAGCGGGCGGGAATTAGTTTGGCTAATACGCTTATTGAGATGAAATTATTAACACGGTGCTGGATTAGCGATCTTTAACGTGGAAAGTATACATAACTTGAACTCCTATTTTGTTTATAGGAGTTTAATAACAGAGTATATTTCACGAAACGAAATCAATTTTAGCAATTTATCGGTATACGAGGCGAACGCGTCTGACCATTATTTGGTATTTCTACTTGCGTCGATGTTCGTCGATATTTTATTAATAATAATGAGTATTAAATAATAAGGTTGACATTTTTGTGTACGTGCCTCCTTGTTTGACTGAATTTATATTAATAATTCTGCCGGGGTACGCGATTTGACGAACGTGACCGACAATTATTAGGTATTTCTACTTGTATCTAGTATCGAGTATTTATTGAATAGTAAAGGATCAAATTGAGAAATTCATTGTAGTCGATGATTAGTTAACAATTTTTAAACATGAACATCAAAGATTTAAAACATTTCATTCAGATTCTTGTGCATTAAAGTTAGCGATATGCTGGGATAAGCAGAATTTCTACATTCTCAGCAAGTATCACGGTATAGTTAATGTTTCCGTTAAGCACATTGTATACAGATACTAAATTCAACGTATATCTGTGGTCTCTCGAGAGTGGAAAGCACGTTGTGCGCAGAATAGCACTATAATTAACATTATACAGTCTAGAGGATGAAGAATACTGCTCCTAAAAGATACAATCGAATTCTCTGCTAATATCGCTCTCGCGTAAGCAACATATTATAATTTTTGTTATTAGTACGTTGCGTTTGGAACGATTATCGCAGACGTTCGTAATTAATCATGTGCTTATTTAAAGTCTGAATGCCTTGATTGCTGCGTCACTCACTAGCGACATTAATGCTTGGGGAACTGCCGCGTCATTTTCAAAGCCACGCCGATCAAATATGATTAATTTTGTACACAAATACAATGGATATCCGAAAGTGTAACTTCCAGAATGAGTAATTCTGAGAGGATTACTTTTGTATTCAATCTCGTGGAATACCAGTGCTGCATCGAAAACACTCTGCTATCTTTCATAATTAATCAACACGTTCTTGCTCAGGTCTACTTCTCATACAACCTTTCAATTTTGATAAAATGGGAATTTAACAGTCTAACTTTAAATTGAAATGCTGTCATTTTTATTCTAATAGTATATCCTTCGTTTTAACGTTTAAACGTATTCGTCAGTATCAGTCGTATCAGCGATGCTACGTTAAATTTTGTTTCGTAGGTGCGCTGAATTTAATTACGAGCGTCGACGGATGAAAGTAAAACGGGCAGAAGCGTAGCGGTGACGGGCATCTGCAATTTACAAGTTTTGTCCGTGGCCCGTTGTCCACCAACGGGGGAAGAAATCACGACGCGAGCGTTAATTAAGTATTCAGAAGAGTCGTATCCGCCCGCTGGGAAACGGAAGTCCGGCAAGAGGCGCGCGTTCGGGGACCGTAGCTCGCTGTAATAAAATTCGATGTAAAAGCATTACGAGCTCCACGCGCTTCGAGGCGATGATGATCCACTTATTCCTACAATTCTTCCCACAAACAGGGCTCTTTACGAGTGGCGTAAAGCGAGATTGACTCTTTTTTTTATCAACGTTCGCTTCGAGAGATAAGTGCTGGCGAGTTTCAACCGAGCAGCGAAGGGGGAGATACGATCGAAGATTGATTTTGAAATCAACTTTACGGGATGGACAACACTGGTGCGATTACACAGACTACAGAACATAGGGTCGACTATAAACGAATACATAAACTTCCCTTTTTGCTTTAAAAAAAACATCGACGAACGAAAATAAATTTCAGTGAATATTAAAGATACACATTTTATGCGAGCAATGTTTTATTTAGAAATGCATATTTAAATACGCTGTCGCGTGACCGAGAACCAAACGAAGCGCAACTCATCGATCGAGGGATTTTAAATTGGCATGAAATAATGCATCGTAAAAATCGACAATAGTCCGGCGATTCTCGAGATTGCAGTTGATTTCCTCTTACCCAGCATTATTAAATTTCGATTTTTACCGATGCCTTCGCGTCAAGAGGGGAAAAGACGAAGACGAAACGACCTGAGAACGATTCCATTGTACCGTAGTCAGGTAGTTTACGGACGATATTGAATTTTTTTCCTCCGCTGGTTCGTTCGACGTACAAAATAATCTCGTCGGATATTCGACGCCCGATCTCATTGGGGGCGGTCGAACGAACGCGTCATCGGAACGCTGATTTCTCTTTATTTTCTCGTTTAGTGCTACGACGACCGAGCATTCAGCGTTAGATGGAGCGTGACCGAAAGAAGAATAACGAGACCCAGGGAGAAGAATGTTATTTGTCGTGTACGGTTTACCATAACTACGTCGTGGAACGGTTTCGTCCTCCAGGATGATGCTGATACGGGAAGATTCACGGGGGTTGCATAGACGTCGGTTATAAAATTGCGAACGCGCCTTCCTCGCCGTATCGCGGGCTTCATAAATACGAATACGATCGATTGTGACGCGGGGGTGGGAGTGCTACAATTCTCAGAGATTGCGATTCTAAGGCGATCCGAAAGTTTCACGGCTTCTGCATCTGACAGTTACTCGCCGGAGACGCGATCGCAAGTTTCCCTCCACGGCCCAGGATGAGTGGAATATTTTCAAACAGGGTTGCGCGAGCTTATCGTCGAGAGTTTTCAACGGAAATATACTGTTTCTATCGGTCAAATGATCGTTTTTTAAATTTCGTTTAGAATTTTTAACGCACGTTATTTTAACGCCATTTAACTCTACGACTTTTCTTGTAGTACTCGTACACTGAATTCTTCAATATTCAGTTCTATTCTTATGGTCTGTTTTCTGAGAAAAATATGTAGTATGCCTTGCTTAGTCATTTAACCGGTTGAACAATTTATATTTTTATGGGGAAAGCATTCCGGGCAAAATTTATAAATGGGAAATATGTAGGAAAGATGAAAGGAAAGAATCTTCAGTTCCAACTGTCTTAAAACAGTTAAACTTTACATACATACAGTTCTTTCCTTAATTGAGGTACTGTCATTGTCGAATATTGTCAATTTTGGCCCTTTTTAATATTTCTTAGATATACCGATGAACTACAATACTTTAAGAATCTGTATTAATTTATTTCCTTTTCACATAAGTATTTCAAACTATCAAAGTAAACGAAATTTCACGAAATAATCATAGTTAGGAACGTCGAAAACATTTGGTAGAATGAAACTATCCGAATAATTTAGTTACAGGTAATAATATTTAAAAAGAAACAGTTCAATAAGGCGTATTAAAATTGTGAAACTTTAGACGCGTGCAGTTCTGAGACCACTCATGTTTTCTGCATGATTGAGATACTACTGGAAGCAGCAAAGCCTCCCCTTTAAAATGGTTTTTGAATTTTGTCGATCGGACTTTCCGTTTTGGAGATATCGTAATTTATGTAAAGGTGTAATTTTTGTAATTCGACTATCTCTGTCTCCGTCTGACGCGTCGCGCCGGACCTCTTTGTCTCGCACGTGACTCGCGACCGAGTGACCTAGTTTCTCCGAGTCACGTGCCGGACAACGTCCTTGACAAGGCCGTAGTAAGAATGTAAACAAACGCTTCGGACCCTTATATCTCCGGAACTAGCCACCGCATCGACTTAAAATTAAAATCGCTATATCTCCGGAACTAATAAAGCTATCGACTTGTTCGAACGCTCATTTTAAAGGGCATTTCATGCCCTATCCGATGACTACATCAACTATTATTATTTATGCTATCTTCTATGTTTATTATTAAATTTACTTTGACTCTATGCACCCAAAGAAGTTTTAGCAATTCCTATTGATTATACTACTCGTGTGCGACAACACTGGATTGTAAATTGTTTATTT